GTGTTTGTGTAGGGATGGTTGACTGGAGGTGAGGCTGGATGGTAAGAATGGGTTGGTTTTGCGGGTGTGGGCTCTCTGTCTCTTGGTGTCTTGATCTCGAGACTAGGGTGGATCGGATGAATGGGGTTCTGTTGGCAAATCCTTTCCTTCATGAGTCAGGATCAAGTCGTCGACCACCGATGAACTTAATGGACGTGGCCTTTTACCGGAGGCCGAAGATCTATGATCTGGGGTTTTGAGAGGTTGCATGGATGGAACTGGGGCGCGGAATCGATGGGGAGGTATCTAGCAAGGCAGAAGCTCCAGATCATAGAACTGACTCACATTCTCTTTAAGAGACTGGTTTTCAACCCTGATGGATGCGTTTTCGGTTTGGATTGCATTATTCTCGGCTTCCAGTGCGGCCACCTTGTCTGAATTTTGTTGCATGAGAGCGGTCAGAGCCTCCAGTCTGGCCTCGAGGCTGGAGTTAGCATTGTCCAAAGGGTCAGCCATGGAAAATTCCTCTACGTAGCAAGGTTCATTGAGCCAAATGATTGTTAGAGGCCCCACGGTAGGCACCAAACTGTAGACGTAAAAATATACCTATACGGAAGGGGGAGTCTGATCCTGTGAGGTTGAGGCTACTAGCGATCCGCTGTACCTACACACGTAGAGAAACAAATGCGTGAAGCGAACGGAAAACACTTGGGTGGTGTTTGCCATAGGCACTCCAACGCTCAAGTCAGCAAGGCTAAACGAGGCTGATATAGTGAGGGCTAGGGAGTAGAGAAGTTACCGAAAGTCTAGTCGGGGATTGTGATTATGGCAGTGATGTGAAGCTCTCAAGTAAGAGCTTTGGGTGTGAAGGTGTAATGTAATGTGTCTTGTGAGAGGGCTGGCCTCTACTTATATAGTGACTGTCTGGTCTCCTAATCCTGGTGGGAGTAGGAGTCCTAGTGTGACTCTGATGCGAACCCTAGAGGAATTAGGGCGGTGGTGAGCTGTCTTACCAGTGTTCGAGTAGGAAAGTGATCCAAACAAGAAAGTAACCTCGAATAGGAGATTGATCCCGAATAGGAAGGTGATTTGTGGGTGTCGTGGGCTTTGAACTCGCTCATAGGTCTAGAAAGTGAATTGGGATTGGGAGGCTTGTGCCCGGATGGTTTGGGCCGACTGTATCTCGTATAAAATGGGCCTAATTCGGATGGGGCCGCATAGGGATTGGGCTTGGTCTCTTCCTCATTCAGTCCCGTTCTCCTATTAGGCCAAGGACAATTTTTTGCCCTAACAAAGTGATTTGTGTTGTTGAATTAGAAGTGATTTGTGTTTACTTGGTGGTTTTTTGTAAAGTTGCAATGGCTGTGGGCAATGGGATTTTCCGATGAAGTGGTTACCGGTTTGGTTTTGAAGGTGAAGAAGACTTGATAAGGAAAATAGATTTATGAAATTTAATTTAATTATATAAAACTTAATTGGTTTATATAAATAAAATAAAATAAAATTTGATGGAAAGTCGAATATAGCCTTTGGTTGTTAGTTTACAATATCAGTTGTCTACTTAAAGCCTAGGACGTTTTGTACATCAAAAATAATTGTGTCCTTAACTGGGTTTTATTTATTTTATTTTTTTGTAATCGGGACGTACCTCAGTTAATTCTTGAGTATATTGATCATCTTACAAGTCTAAAAAATCAAATAGATCACAATATTATTATGATAGATGACTTTAAAATTTGAATCCAAAAACTCAAAGAATGTGTCATTGACTACTAGACGCTAGTGTATCAAAAACCAAATAGACTAAAATGTATTTCACTTCATAATATTGTAGGTTAAATTATCATATTGTCTTGATGGTATTAGATGATTTATTTTGTTGTTTTATATTCAAATATAAAATAGAAAATTCAAAAGGTGACTATGGTTTTAGTTAAAGATTCAATGACCCAATTAAGGGCTTATTTGGCTGAACTTATGAAAATTAGTTTATAACCAATTAGTGTTTATAAGGTATTTTGAACTTATAAGCATTTAAAATTTAAACAGTTGCGTGTTTTGTTAAAATACTTATAAGTGATTAATAAATAGTTGACAAGTTTGGTAAAATGTGGCTTATAAGTAAATTTTATTATTAAAATGACTAAAAAGAGTATTATATTGCTTTATCAAATAATAAATTATATGAACTCAATTTTTTCCTATAATATTATCAAAATATATTTCGAACATTTTAAAATTAAATAAACAAATACTTTATAGACAAATATTTTATTAAAAGCGTGAGTTGTTTAAAATATAAAATAATGTTACGTGAAAAAATTTTAAAATTAAATAAGGGTAATGCGATAATATATTTTGTTAAAGTAGTTTATAAGTAGAGTGCTTACAAGTTACAAACTTCAACACATCCCCCCAACCCCTGCATCTTGCCAAAAAAAAAAAAAAAAAAAAAAAAAAAGAAACATAGGTTACCCCTATATATATATATATATATATATTTTTTTTTTTTGTTTATAAGCCTAAAAAAATTACAAACAAATAAATTAGTTTCTAAACTCTAAAATCAGCTTGATTTTAGAGCTTATAAACTCATTTAACCAAATTGATTTTGTTGGAGTGAGTTGATTCAATAGAAACGACTTGTTGAATCAACTAACTCCAACAAAATAGTGCATAAACGATATTGTTCGAAGCTTATTGTGTAGTGAACATTCTTCTTTTCTGATTTTCTTTTAGAATAATATTATACCTTTAATCATTTTATACAAGATTTCTCTCATAAACTTATGTGACAAAAGATAATTGAGTGAAAATTTATTTTAAATGAAAAAGTTTGTATGAAAAAATTATGGGTGTAGTATTATTGTTTCTTTTATAATGAGCGAATACTAAGGGCTGCGTTTGTTTCAGTTTTGGGAATACTACTTTTAGTATTCCCAAAAAAGTTAAACAGTAAAATACCCAAAAACTCAGATTTTTGGGAATACTACTCCCAATATTATTCAACTTTTTTTAAACCCCTTAAATTTGATAATTTAATTAAATACCCCTAAATATTTTTTTTAAAATTACAAAAACAACCCAATAATCAACATTTACCAGATTCCAGCCACCACCACCGGAAAATGGCCGGAATCTGGTAGGATGGAGCACTACCGGCTGAATCTGGCCGGTAGTGCGCCGATCTAGCCTTTTCCGGCCAGATCCACGGTGGATCTGGCTGGAAAAGGCCAGATCTAAGGCCAAAGATCTGGCCGTTGATGGCCAGATCTTTGGCCGTAACAGTCGGTCACAACAGTCGTTGAGAGCAAATACGGCCAGATCTGGCGGTTAACGGCCAGATCTGGCCGTAGATCTGGCTTTTGCCTGCCAGATCCACCATGGATCTGGCCGGAAAAGGTAATTTATAAATCCTACATCGTAATACCCGCCCAATTCAACTTTTTTTTAACTTTTTTCAAAGAACTTTTCCCAGAACCCCTAAATTTTGAACCAAACGGAGCCCTTTTTTTAGTTAACAAAATAACGTGAAATACTTTTTTTACTTATTAACCGTTTATTTTAACCAAATATTTCTAACGGCAGTCTAATGATAGGTAATAAATATTATTTCCCAAACTTTAAAGCATTTATGTTATTAGCTCANCTTAACAAGACTGAAAAATAATGTTAAATCCCAGTCTTCTTCACTTCTCCTTCCGCCTCTCCTCTTCTTACGCCGCTCGCCTTCTTCACTCTCTCGTCCACATAACAAAAAAGCCAGAAAATTCGGTTCCATCTGGGCTTCCTTGAGAATCCCAACGCACAAACTTCTCGCCACTGCTTTTTTTTCTCTTTTTCCCCTTTTTTCTGAGAAAAAAAAAAAAAAAAAAACAAATGAACTAATTGTAATTATTTTCCGATTGTGGTTGTAGATGATGGACTTTTAGGGTTTATTTTAATTTTTTAATCTGCTCTTATAAGTGACTTTTTTAGGACTTTTAGGGTTTATTTGAATTTTTTAATCTGCTCTTATAAGTGACTATTTTTTAGAACTTTTAAGGTTTAGTAATTAAAATACTTATAAGTGACTAATAAGTAGTTGACACATTTGATGAAATGTGACTTATAAGTATATTTTATTATTAAAATTACTAAAAAGAGTATTATATTGCTTTATCAAATAATAAATTATATAAACTCAATTTTTTCCTATAATATTATAAAAATATATTTCAAACATATTAAATATAATTTAATTTTAAAATTAAATAAACAAATACTTTATAGACAAATATTTTATTAAAAGCGTGAGTTGTTTAAAATATAAAATAATGTCAAACCCCCCCCCTCCGGCGGGGGAAAAAGAAAAACGTAGGTTCTCCCCACTTTTTTTTTTATTTTGGGGTTTATAAGCCCCAAAAGATTATAAACAAATAAATAAGTTTATAAGCTCTAAAATCAGCTTGATTTTAGAGCTTATAAACTCATTTAACCAACTTGATTTTGTTGGAGTGATATTGAATCAACTCACTCCAACAAAATAGTGCATAAATGATATTGTTAGAAGGTTATTGTGTAGTGAACATTCTTCTTTTCTTATTTTCTTTTAGAATAATATTATACCTTCAATCATTTTATACAAGATTTCTCTCTTAAACTTATGTGATAAAAGATAATTGAGTGAAAATTTATTTTAAATTTAAAATCACCCAATCATCTTTTATCATATAAGTTTGTGATATAAAATTTGTATAAGAAAATTATGGATGTACTATTATTGTTTCTTTTATAATGAGCGAATACTAAGGTTTTTTTAGTTAACAAAATAACGCGAAATACTTTTTTTACTTATTAACCGTTGATTTTAACCAAATATTTCTAACGGCAGTCTAATGATAGGTAATAAATATTATTTCCCAAACTTTAAAGCATTTATGTTATTAGCTCAAACCTCGAAGGGATTTTTGTAATATTCCCATAAATAAACTTTAAATAATATATGTGATGAAGTGATTATCTAATCAACATAACATACCTTTATTCCCAACAGTAAGCGTCGGCCTGTTTCACGCCGCCTCAGATGTTGGCGTCTTTCCTGCAGTGACAACGCCAGAATAAGAATAGAAATTGATTTCTCCTCCTCTTCATATCGAATCCAACTTCAGATGGACAACACTCTCCAGTCCATCTGCTACAAGCGTGGTTCCCTCCAGCTTCTGGACCAGAGAAAGCTTCCTCTGGAAACTGATTACTTAAATATTTGCGACGTTGCAGACGGATGGTCGGCCATACGAGATATGGTGGTGCGAGGAGCGCCTGCTATTGCAATTGCCGCCGCACTCTCTCTGGCCGTTGAGGTCTTTCATTTTGATGCTTTTACTGGAACATCTGCTGATGCCGCTTCTTTCCTCGAAAACAAATTAGATTATCTCGTTTCTAGGTACTTTTTATTCTTAAATTTTATGCTTATCTCGCTACTGATACGATTAATCTTAATCTTTATTTTTATCGTGTTTCTTCAGTCGACCAACTGCAGTGAATCTTGCAGATGCTGCTACAAAACTTAAACAGATTATATCAAAGGCGGCTGCTATTGCTTCTGATGCCAATAGTGTTTTTCAGGTAGTTCTATTGTTCGATTTATAAAGTTTGGAGTTCAGTGTGATTATTGATTTATCCTCTATCAACCTTATAGGCTTACATAGAAGCTGCTGAAATTATGCTCAAGGATGATGTTGTGTCCAATAAAGCAATTGGGTCTCATGGAGCAAGTTTTCTTCAGCACCAGCTGAAAAACTCCAACAAACTTTCTGTTCTGACCCATTGCAACACTGGCAGGTATTTCTTTCTTTCTTTCTTTCATTAAGAATATAATTTGTGTGTTCCTCTACCTTTCATTGGCGAGAAGGTAAGTAAATGTTTGAACTGAGACCGAGGGCAAGAGGGTGATCTAGCATAAGATATAGTTCAAAATTCAAAATGCTATTGTTTTGTTATGACAGTCTTGCAACAGCTGGATATGGTACTGCCCTTGGTGTAATCCGTGCTCTCCATGTTGAGGGAGTGTTAGAGAGGGCCTATTGCACTGAAACACGTCCATTCAACCAAGTGAGTATTCAGCTTAACTGTTGTAGTAAATCCAATTCTATGCTTCAACAGGCACAAGACATCCACACAATATCTAGAAATATAATGAGAGTCTTTTACGTTACCTTTTCTAAACAAATGATAAAATTAACTTAATAGATTGCTAATGAATCTTACAGAATTTTCTCATTTGTCCTGGTGATAATGTGGTCACATATCAGTTGGTAGGGACAATCTATTCAGCGACATCATCTGATAATATCTCAAGATGGGTGCTGGATGTTCCAATCACTGACTGAATACTTTAGATGCTTGGAGTTATGCAATTTATTTATTATTTTTTTTTTTATTGATGGTGCTACAAACCCCTGGTTTAATCTCTCTTGTGGTCTGGAGAACAAACGCAATGCTGAAATCCTGGCGTAAATTTATCTCCAAGAATAGAGGGGAGAATGTCCATGAAAAAATGGTTGACAATGCTTCTAGCTATGGTCAAATTCTGTCCCACCACCAATTTGGGTTCTTATTATCGTGAAAATATATCTGCATTGAGATGGCTTAAGGACCATCGTAAAATTTTGTGAACCCAAAACTGGTGATATTTGACTGTCGTAACACCCAGAAGGAAAGTGAGAATGTAATTTGCTTTTTGATTTAGTTTTGTGAACATAAATTTTTTAGTTTGTAATATCTACGGTTTGGTTCGATTTTCCCATCAGTTGACCTTGCAGTGTAGTCATCCCCTGTTACCCCAAAGTGATCTGTGTATGCAACAATATATGATACTGTGATGCTAATTAACAACTCATCGACATTTTAACTATTATTTTTGGCATTATCAATTGTTGATATATTCAATTATATCTACAGGGATCTAGACTAACAGCTTTTGAGCTGGTGCATGAGAAGATACCAGCTACTCTAATAGCTGACAATGCTGCAGCGGCATTAATGAAAGATGGTCGTGTGAGTGCTGTCATTGTTGGTGCAGATAGAGTGGCTTCAAACGGTATTCATTGCAGTTAACAATTGCATTTTCATCAAGAAAGTATATTTAACTTTTACGTGTGTTAACAAATTGCAGGTGATACTGCTAATAAGATTGGAACCTACAGCCTTGCATTATGTGCAAAGCATCATGATATTCCATTTTATGTTGCTGCACCACTGACTTCTATTGATTTATCCCTTGTCTCTGGACAAGAGATCGTTATTGAGGAAAGATCTCCGAAGGAATTGTTGCACTCACGGGGAGGACTTGGGGAACAAGTGGCCGCAACTGGAATCTCTGTCTGGAACCCTGCTTTTGATGTTACCCCTGCTAATCTGATCGCTGGCATCATAACAGAAAAGGTATATCTCCCGTCTCTATGTGGCTTAGTAACTTGTATTTGTATATGAGCATTTTGCATTTGATTGTATGATTTTATTGAAGTCTGAAAACTTGTGTTAATTGAATAGGGTGTTATTACGAAATTGGGTAGCAGCACATTCGACATAAGGGATTTCGTACAGAAGGCAGAGAACAAAGTATGCCCCTGCGGTAAATGAAGTAATTAATTGGTAACTGCTTTGTTAATTTAAGTCTTGTTGGATTATGCATCACTTTACTAGCAACTGTGCCGAAATAATTGTAAGCCTGTCGCCCTGCTCTGCATTTCTGGCGATTGGTACATGGGTTTCTTAAGGCTATGGGAAAAAGATAAATAAGAAGCTCCTGCAATGTTAACCGATTGATATTTTATTTAATGGTCTGAGAATCTGGAAGGATGTTGTGACATCCTCAGGTTATTTTGTAGCAATCTAAAGAGTAACAATAATACTACACTCTAGCTGATTTATCATCGTCAACTGCCAATTTAAGTAATCAATTAACATATTGATACAAAGTTGGTAAATTTACTAACGTAAAATTTAACTGAAATAATAATTATGTTCCTTTCATGTAAAATTAACACATAATCAAATCATATAAGAATTTAGCTAATTTTAAAGAGATTTATAGTAATATTCCACATCTTAAAGGAAATTTTGACAAATTTCAAAGCCAAAAATCTACCACTTGTTTAACCACATCTTGTGCCCTGATTAAATCAAGTGAGAACGTACTCCAAATTTGTTGGGCAATAAATTTGTAAGATCTCTTACACAACAAATCAACAAAATATTAAAAAAGGGCAGTCAAATGGTTATAAAAATAACAATTTATAAGTTCAAATTTTTAATGTTTAATAAGAATGATTTCTGGTGACAATTTAAAGCCAATTCCGGAAAATGAAATAAAAAAGGCAAAAAGGGAAAATTTCTCCATTTAGGATTCATCCTATGCTGAGCGGCTTAGCAGTAAGCGCTTTCCTCCTCAACGATACTGGAAATGCGAAAATGAATACAGGGACAAATTGTCAGTTCTGCGTGTTACCCTTTCAAATCCAAATCTAACTGTAATATGCTATTTCAAAGCAAATATCAAAAGAAGCAATCACAATTTCAATGAGCCACTTATGTACTCAAACAAATCTATAAATCAGATGACAATCAATTTCAATAAGCAACTTTTTTTAAAAAAAAAAAAATATGTTGCTCACATGAGCCCACAGAACTAGAAATGTATTCTCCACCCTCAAGGAAAAGACAGAAGTAAACAACTTAACAGTTCTTTTTTTCTTCTTCGTTTGGAATAAGAAACAACTTTACAAAAAGTATTTAGTAGGTTGTTTCCTGGTAAACCATTTTATTTTCTTAAAAGGATTAGCCTGAAAATCTTAATTAGTAATAATAAAAACTTCAGCACACCAAAAGGGGCATCTAATTTCTCCAAATTTTGAACATACATTTCCCCAAAGTTTTTGGAAATAAAGGCTTTTGTTGATATATATAATATTTATCAATCTAACTAAAGTAATAGTGGTTTAACAACAAGTCAGGTTACGGAGTTCTATTTTGTTGTATTGTTAGGTGTGACAAAGTGTTCAAGATGTAGATCAAAATGTTCCTTGTGACATTTTTGTAATCACATGAATAACAATTTCTCCATTTTATATTCTGTAACCACTCTGTACATCACAACATAACATATGCATCATACAACACCAAAGATATAGGTGCTATACAATGTGACATGCTCATTTGACTCAAATAGTGACAATATCATTTTTCTATATACTTTCTCAACAAAAATAAAATTTGTAGAACGCTTACATGACCTTTAAGGCTAAACAAAAGTATCAAGTACTTCACAAATGTAGGACACAACTATTAACATCAATCATCACTTTGAAAAAGACAATAGATCAAATCCATATTAGACCTGAAGAAGGGCCAGGCTATAGCTTGAGATATGTTTAAATAGGATAAAAAATGATCAAGACCAGGAGTCAACAAACAGAACAGAGTACACAATGTAAAGAGGGAATAAAAAGTTGGGATATAAGAAAAAATAAAACATGATCAGTACCAGAGAATTTGAATGATTATAATGACACTCTAGAATAAATTGGCTATGTAGCATGAAATAAAATAAAAGTACTTTAACTGTCACACGAGTGTGATTGGCCCCTATCTTATGATATGCTCATAGTGGGAGCTTCAGAGTTCAGATACTCAACAAACTCACTCATAAAAATAACACTAACCTTAATGAAGCCAATTTCCTTAGCATTGCTGCGGAAGCACTGTCTGCAACACATGAGCCCATACTTCCTGATCAACCCATGTGGGTTTCCGCAAACACGGCTGATAAACAGGATAAAAAACCAGCACATCAATTGAAATAACAATTATCCAAGACCAGTGGCCAATCAAAATACCAAGACACTGTACTATTCCAGAAAAAAAAAAAAAAAAACCAAATAACCTAATACCAGACATTCCACAACTACATGTAATTAAAAAAATATGAATACAAAGAAGCATAATGTAAAAGGACGTAGGCATAAACACCAAAAGACGAATAAAAATTATAAGCATTCATCAACTACAAGAACCAAAACCAAAAGAAAGTTAAAAGATAATAAAATGCATATCTGATCACTTCAACGAGCACACCTTTCATATAATCTATAACTTAAACATAAAAACAACAATATTCACAGAATAATAGTAACAAAATTGGTTCCATAGTGCAAAGATGCTTATATTGTTGCGATAATATCTAAATTTATTCCAGGCATATTTGACTCCCAACGCGAGTTCTTCACTTGATTAAGAAAAGAAAACTAAAAAGACAAAACACTGACCAGGTACGTGATCCAGGGCCATAGTTCTTAGGGTGTGAGTTCCATACGTTCGAATGACCCATCTTTCTCTCTCTTTCCTGCTCTACAATCCCAAATCGAACACGAGTTGAGAGGGCAAGTGAGAAAACCCTAAGACGGGGAAAACTCCTTTTAACAACTACTGCGACGACGTTTCAAGTAATTGCTAGTAGTTAATGTTTAATAGCAATTAAAATTAATTAAATAATAAACAAGATATTAAAATTTCATACAAATAAAGTGAAAATTAAAAAAAATTAGCATTTTTTTTATCGCCAGTAATATTTCTTCTAAAAGAAGATTTTTTTTTTTTTTCAATTTTTATAAAATTCTAGAACATATTTTAATTTTCTTTATTAAAAAAAAAAAAAAAAAAGAGGAGTTACTAATTTTCTTAATCTTTATACATACATATTAAACCGGATGAAAAGAAAAAGAATAGAAAAAAATAAAAATTAGTGTATAAACTATAAACAAAGGAAGCTGTCTTGGAGAAAAAGCTTTCTTCTGCTTCACTATAAAGTATAAGCACAAATCTGCAAGCCCAAAACAAAACAGAACACAAAGAAAACAAACCCCCAATATGAGCAGAGGAAGCGGAGCCGGCTACGATCGCCACATCACCATCTTCTCTCCTGAGGGTCGCCTCTTCCAAGTGGGTAAGTCTCCGTTATCACATTTACTTCCATTCCATTTTTCTCTTTTACTCATTTAATTATAATTATAATTTTTTACTTTTATATCATTCAATTGAGCAGAATATGCTTTCAAGGCTGTAAAGTCCGCTTCCATCACTTCCATTGGTGTCCGTGGCAAAGACGCCGTCTGTGTTGTCACACAGAAGAAAGTCCCGGTCAGTAGTTTGTATTTTTTTTTACTCTATTTATATCGGGAATTTGGATAATTTTTTCCTTATATGTGGGTTATCGTTGATTTTTTTCTTCTCAAATAATGAGCAGGACAAGCTTTTGGATCAGACCTCTGTCACCCATCTCTTCCCCATTACCCAGTACCTTGGATTAGTAGCCACTGGCCTGACAGGTTTGATCTTTCATCCAAAAATTTAAGAAATTTTGCTGCAGAATTGTGATTAAGGAATTGATTTGAAGCAATGGATTCGATTTGGTTATTTTATATGTACGTCTCTTGAGTGGTATGCAATTAAATTTCAATGATATAAAATGCTGATGCTATATGTTAATGCTGAAACTGCAGTATATGATATTTGGATTGTTAGTATTATTTTTGATATTAAGGAGGGGCACAAGTTGGATTGCATGTGATGTTATCACTTGGTTTTTTATATAACTTGGCTCTGTTATTTATCACTTCCGAATGTGGGAGGGTTGAATTGGCTGCACATTCTGTTGTCTCTTGACAAACAGAGGTCCAAATACTAAGATGGCATGGCCTGACGTTACTGCTTAGATTATGATTCTGAATTACTTTGCATAGTCATGGAAATTAGTGATGTAATAAGCTATTAACTTTTCACCATTTACCATCACTCCATTGTTATGTGCTAGGATTTGTGCAATTTTCCTTTGCAATTTGCTTCTTTTGAATAATTTGGATTATCTTTGGTTTTGATTGGTGTCTTTGGATTATATTGCACAAGAAAAGATTTTCTTAGAAATTTTTGAAGTATTTCGGGAGGGATTCCCTACTAATCTTGTCTCTGCAATTTCTAGCTGATGCAAGGTCCTTGGTCCAACAAGCAAGGAATGAAGCGGCTGAATTTCGTTTCAGATATGGATATGAAATGCCTGTGGATGTACTGGCCAGATGGTAATGTCTCATGATATTATAGAGAAAAAGTTAATGCTGTTTAGTTGAACTTGATGGATTGATTATTCTATGGATGCAACGAATTTCATTTCCATGGTTACTAATCATTTACCTTAAGTTGTTCTAATATATAGTTTGAAAAGTTCAAATGTTTAGTGACTAGATAGTCAGATAGAAGCCAACGATTGTAAGTTTAATTTGTAAAGTTAGGGCTATGGATGAATCTAGTTATTCTTAGTTTACTTAAACTCGAGTGGGTAAAAGCTTGTTTATAGCTGTTTATTTTGTGTTATCAAAACAAGATGGGCCTAATTATGGGTCTCGTTTTTGAAATGACATGAGCTTGAACATTTTGATGACAGTCAGGCCTAGTAAAAGCAGGGTACTACTGGCCAAGCTTGCAAGATAATGTTGCTAAGAATGTGTGTCTTGATGTATTAATAGGAAAAAGAATAGTGAGATATACATCTAAAAGTCTTGTATAGGCTCATGAACCTTACTCGTGACAGAACTCATTAATGATTAATTTCTGAGAAAGAAGAAAAGGCTAAACTTATGAACAAGATTGAACTCAACTTGTTTTTTTAACTAACCTGAACCAAATTTCATCATATGTTTCTCCTCTTTAACTTGAACATATTTGTTAGAGCTTGACCCATAGCTTGAATGTGTTCTGACTTAACTCTTACAACAAATTACAATAACTTAAGGTTCCAAAAGGCAACTGACCAGAATTCTTTCTACGCTTATTTGCTTTGTACTACCATAATCAAAATTGTAATTTTTTTTCTTTTCTGTTTTGTGACAATTCAAATCTTGTTGCTTACTCTGAACATTGTCCTTTGTGCATATAGGATTGCAGACAAGTCACAAGTTTATACTCAGCATGCATATATGAGACCTCTTGGTGTCAGTAAGTTTACAGTCTTTTTCACCTTTGCAAAATTTTTTTTAATCCTTTTTTTTATTTATTATTATTCATATTCAGAATTGCAGTAGTTTTTAAGGATTTTGTGTTCATACTTATGTGCTCAGACTGATTGTTGCTAATATTACCTTTTCTTTCTTTAACGTTTTTCTTTTTTTCTGTTGCAAAGTTGCTATGGTTTTGGGTATTGATGAAGAGAAAGGACCTCAACTTTACAAGTGTGATCCAGCTGGACATTTTTATGGTCACAAGGTTGTTAGCAAATTGTTTTTTTATCTACCATCATTAATTCTTGATATTTTAATTAAAGAATTTTGTTCTGAAATGCATTTCGTTGGGACTACAATTTCACATTCTCAATATTCTGCCTTAAAAGTACTCCTGAACTGTTTGGTTATATTATGCTAGTTTACTTAAGTTAATGTGAATTAATATGAATACGAGTCATCATCATAGGTATTAAAATTGTTATCATGGATATCAAGTAGATAACTTGCCTAAATAAGATGTTCGAGGCTAATTATGATCCAATATTTTTCGAATACAGTACTGCCATGCTTTATATTCTTACTGAGGACCTAGTTTTAGTTTTTTTGTAGCTCTTTTATTTGAACATAAATTTCATATCATGAACTCTGACACACCATTTATACAGGATTTTTAAGATATTTTGATAGGAACCCAATAACTCAACAATTGGACTAAGCCATGGGTCTTTCATAGGCTTGGGTAGAAATCTCTTTGGAAAACCGGCTTGCCAAGGGAGGGTGCTCAAGCCCTTTATAACCCACATGCCCACCTTTTTCCCTTCCAATGTAGGATCTTAACATTCCACCATGCTTTCGCAACCGACGTTCATGTCGGCCTCTTTACCCCTGTCGACTCCTTTACCCCTCGGGTGATTACGCTGATCCCTTTTCCCTCGGGCCTCCATGCCCTTTCTCGGGGTAGCAGCCTGAGCCCAAGGTCAGCCTGCCACGTAGGCGCAAGATCATGCTCTGATACCAATTGATAGGAACCCATTTCAATAACTCAACAATTGGGCTAGGTCATGGGTCTTTCATGGGCTTGGGTAAAACTCTCCTTGGATAATCGACTTGCCAAGGGAGGGTGTTCAAGCCCTGATAACCCACATGCCACCCATTTCCCTTGCAATGTGGGATCCTAACATTTCACTACGCTTCCATAACCGACATCCACGTAAGCCTCTTTATCTCGTAGGTGACTATACGGATCCCCTTTCCCTCAGGCCTCCATGCCCTTTCTCGGGGTAGCAACCTGGGCCTAAGGTTAGCCTGCCATGGGTTAGCCTGCCATGTGGGCTTTGGATCATGCTCTGATACCAAGTGATAGGAACCCACTTCAATAACTCAACAATTGGGCTAGACCATGGGTCTTTCATGGGCTTGGGTAGAACTCTCCTTGGAAAACCGGCTTACCAAGGGAGGAGGCCCAAGCTCTTTATAACCCACATGCCCACCCTTTTTCTTTCCAATGTAGGATCTTAACACAATTCTTGTATGAGAATTTATTATTCATGTTGTGTTATGTAATTTGGTAATGCCTTTTCTCGAATAAAAGCAAAATGCTTAAGTTGGCTTTGTGTTGCAGGCAACAAGTGCTGGACTGAAAGAACAAGAGGCAATCAATTTCTTGGAGAAGAAAATGAAAAATGATCCTGCTTTTTCTTATGACGAAACAGTGCGGGTACATGTCTTATCTTGTCAATGTGTGTGCAGAATGCAAATGTTAGTGCTGAAAAAGCATTGCATGATTCCTGTCAAATTTGAGATAAAGTAAGAAAAGAGAGGGTTGGAAAGGGAAAGGGAAGTGATTCCTTTGCATCCTTGGAATATTGGCATTGGCCTCATGTTAATTCTTATATTTTAGAACAAACTCAATAAAAATTCTTTAAAAATGAAAAAGAAAAAGTAATAAGTAGTACTTATCTTGTGATCCAGTATTCTTACTGATAGATGCTTTGTGGTGCTTGTCAATCAGTAAGTTCTTTCTATTTCCTTTTTGGGTTTAGTTTTGGGAGGCAGTTAAAGAAGGTTGAATATGAGGACAGAAGGATTGCAAATTTCACCTATGTTAATTGAAATATGCATCCAGGTTTACAGCTTTAATGGGAGTTAATAAGATTATTTTAATGCAACCTTGTAGTCAAATCTAAATATGACTGGTGTAACAACTACCTGTTCACGGGTTTTAATTTGTTTGCCATAGAACTTTTATTATCTTAGGGAGTAGGGACATAAGTAGGAATGAAAATTCTTATTATTCGATTCTATTTTCTGACAATTTGAAGCGGATGGTATTAAATGGATTCTGATGGGTTTTGTGCTTCTATAGAGCTGAAAATGTTAGCTTTATGATTATTTTAAGGGCCTAATGTTGCAAATTTCTACTATTATGCAGACCGCTATCTCTGCTCTGCAATCTGTTCTCCAAGAAGATTTCAAGGCTACTGAGATTGAGGTATGGATAATTCCCTTTTGTCATCTCTACAGTTAGTAATAAATAGGATGGATTAATATGCCATGTTGGTCCTTAAATTGTTCAGATTGGCGAACTTTTTGTTCAATTAATTAGTTGCATGATGAAATGGTTTTCAGTAGTTGTTGATGTGAATTTTTTATTTTACGGCAGGTCGGAGTTGTGAGATCAGATGATCGAGTTTTCCAAGCATTGTCAACTGAAGAAATTGATGACCACTTGACTGCCATTAGTGAGCGTGACTAATTAAAATGCGGTAGATGCTGCTCAAAGAAAATTTGTGCTAGCATTTGACTTTATCGACTTGTGCTGTAGTTGTTCTTGGTGATTGGGAGAGAGAGCCAGAGATCTGTTAGTGGTTGAAGTTGTGTTGTTTCAGACTAATGTTATCTCATGTTACAATATTGAACTTTGAAATTATTTAGTCATGTTACAACAGTTACAGGTTCCCATGGTTGTATTTGTTTATTTTACAAGAGCTCTCATATGCTGAACAAATCTTGGGTGCTACTTTTAGCAATAAGCATATGTAGAACGAAATGTGGGATGTTTATCATGTCATTATGACTGACCCACTGTGCTAATCTGATTTGTTGTCTCTGTCGATTCAAATAGCGTGTTTCTTGTTTTTTCCCTCTTCTTGGAGCTTAATAATTCAGTACGATGGTTGCTTCTCTTGCTGTCTGGTTAATAATTCAGTACTGGAGGCCAAAGAGTACTTCATATTAATCACCATACTAGTGGTCTACTTCTATTTATTCAATATGGATATAGCTTTGAAGCCTTGCAAACCATATAAAATAGCAAACAACGTTAAGAGGCAGATTTTTTCTTTGTTTATGTTTTTGGCACAACATATTTTACAAACTATATGAAATAAAAACTTTGAGAGGCAGATTATGTCTTTGTTTATGTTTGTGATATATCGTATTTTCTTAACACGCCTCCCTCCTTGCTCGACAACAACAACGATGACGATGCCTTCCTAGTTCCTCCTTGCTCGACGACGATGACGATGCCTCCCTCCTTGCTCAACGATGACGACGACGCCTTCCTCCCTTGCTCAAAATTGACGATGATGACAATTGAAGGTACATCTGGTTTATTTGATTATCTTTTTTTGGATTCGGAAGTATTGTTTTGATTATTTGATTGGAAGTTTTGTTTTGATTATAATGCTTGGTTTATCTGATTTGAAAGTTGATTTTTTCTTTTTTTGGCATAATCCTCCATATTTGGAAGTTTTGTTTTGATTATTTAATTGGAAGTTACAGAATTATTTTACTTGAATCTAGAAGATAATTTGAAAGTACTTAGATTATTTGTGTTTTCTCCCTCTGGTTGAATAACTCAGATTTGTCCAAACATGAGACTAAAGAGACATAATGCTTAAATTAAAAGTTAAGGTGCCTTTTGGAAGCATTTTGTTTCCGCATTTCAAGCATGTTGTAATCTACAAAAGTTTTTGGCAATCATAATTTTTGGTGGAGCTGTAACATATTATATTGTATGTTGGGATTGTTGTTAAATCATGTTTGGATTGTTATTGAATTTGAATTATGTTGGTACTGTAATTAAGCTGTTATTGAAAATTTGAAACTTGTTCAAAAATGAAAAATCTGGATTTTTTTTTGAAGTGTTGACATCATCATGCGGACGTCAACATGATGACATCATCGGTCTAACCAATTGGTCTAATCGGTTAGACCGGTCAACCCATGACCCGGGCAACAGAACGGGTCGTCCGTCGGTCCGAATTTTAAAACAATGGATAAGTCACAAATGTAATAGGTGCCCCTAAGGTGGTTTGAACCTTAAACCTTCTTGACCATCAAATCAATCATTTATGATTATATATTTCTAATTTTAATGATGACTCGCTTGTTCATATATCATTTTCTGAAGCCACTGGGATCAATGACAATCATATATAAAGTTTGTATTTTACATTTTTGTTTTATAAATTAAATCTAAGTCAATATTCCAACCTATCAATGATCGTGATCCATCTCTTGAAAGCATTATATTTGGTCCGGACTCTTACCTTATTTGGGACCCTTTGAAGTGTGATGCTAGAACAGTTACGCCATCCTCATTAACCTTAAGCAAACCCTGAAATAAATAATTAAAATTCTTTGAATTTGCACATGGGGGCTTCGTCAGCATGGACCTAGCATAATTTTAGATCCTTGATGCATTAAATTTCATATTTCTCGAAAGTATAATGAGTGGCAAGCTTGAGAAAGGACCTCACCTTTTCAGCATCGCATACAATAAGGTCATTTTCCTTCGTTATTGTGATTCCAACTAAATAATTTAGAGTCTTATCTTCTTCCAGTCTTGCTATGTTCCATTTTTTAGCATTCTTTTTATCCAACCATCTCCGGTTGCTGTATATAATACACCCTTTGCATCCACCCAAAGTACATCTTCTGGATTTTTCAATAAACCCTCTCCAAGTTTAACCACACGCTACAATTAATAGCAACACCATAGCACCATAAGTCTATTAGTATTAATAAATAAACACAAGGTTAAAATTTTTATGTGCATGCAGCTCTTTACGTGGAGAGATGAGAAGCTGGGGGAAGTTCAAGCAAGTCAGGAGATATTGGTGAGAAGAAGAAGATTTGGAGTACAAAAGCAATAAACAAGCTAGTACAAAGCTGGCACGCAGCGTTTTGATGTCCTAGCGAAGGTTACTGGATAAATTTTTGGAGCCATAAGCCTGGAATCAGATTCACAGTTATGTGTGTGGTGGGGAAATAATCGATAGATAGGATAATCTTGTGAAGAAAATAAATTATGGATAATCATGGGTTTCCTATCCGTGGAAAGCTGTATAAGTTATAAATCTAAAGTCTAGACAAAGTTATAGATCAGATGTCAGTATTATGAGCACTGACAACAACCCATTATCGAAATAAATTTTCAGTAACCTTGTTTATTGCTCTAACTTTCTATTAATAAAAAAGCGTATAACCAGAGGTCTAGTTATGTCTTATTCAAAATTTGATTGATCATTGAAGTTGAAGCCTTACAAACTATATAAAATAAAAACATTGAAGTGCAGATTGTTTCTTTATTTATGTCTGTGGTACAACATATTTTTCCTTTCAGACTCCAACTTTAACAATTACGCTGTTTTCAGCGGCAATTTCCCAATGAAGTTGGAGTTAAGGCTACCCAAGTAGAGATGATCTTCAAACTCCAGAGCGTTAGTCACAAAGTTCATCACCTTTCCATTAGGATCGTCCAACTTCCTGATTATCTTGCCATCCGTTGCCACATTCACAACCGATGCTTTCTTGTATATGGGGTTGATCAGTCTGAACAGTTTCGGAAATGCTGCTAGGAAATGTTTGCATGCCTTAGAAGTGTGCACAAATTCCAGCCTCTTAGAACGCAACTGTACCATTGAACTTATGTTTAGAATAGCTGCAATAGAACACTAACCAAAGATCTTGAGCATCATGCTCCACTGAATTGAAATTTGATTGATATTCAGATTGAGATACCTGAAGCAAAGCGATCCAGAAAGAGCCATCTGGGGCAAGATTAATGTTATCAGGTCCACCTGGAAGGTTTTCAATGAAAGTTTCAGTCTCTCCTTTCGTCTCGCCCTTGAGCCAATACTTACAGCACCTGAATCTGATCCCACCGAAAGAGGATTAACATGTTGAGAAATTCAAGTAACAATCTAACATCTATTTGGCAATTTTATTTTATTTATTTTTGCACCAAAAAAATAAAACACTTACTTCCATGTTTCACAAAACACCAAATAGTCTTCATATTTTGAGAGTGCTACCCCATTAGTAAAGCCTAAACCATCAAGCAACATTGATGTCTCATTCAATACCGGGTCATACTTGAGCAGTTGACCGTGAGGTTTTGCCTCAAGCACGTCGAGATGCCAGTCATGGAGTCCAAATTTGGTGCTCGCTACACTAAAATATAAACTGCCATCTGATGCCGCAATCACTTCATCCGCAAACCTGGTTAGATTATCCATAATATAAGTAAATGTTCTTATTAAAATACACAGTTAAGTACAATCTTACAGTAAACAGTAAAAACCCAAATTCTTGAATATACGAACATTTATATAAGATTTTCTGTGTTTATTATTTTCAATAATAAAAAACAGAGAATGATATCTCTTTTAACTTTTCCATCACGACAAACAACAGTTTGCACTCTATTGGGTATTGAGAGGTTGATGTGATTAATGCAATAGAGTGCTCTTGAGGGACTACCAAATTCCGAAGAAATAAAAATCAAAGATTTATGATGTCCTTTCAAATCCAAAAAAGAAAAAAGCGTTAGATTACAAGTAAAAGTCGTCCATTCACTTTCATAAACTACAAAACTAATTACTCTCAAAAAGAAAAAGAAAGATTCCCTTACAATAGCTATGGATTTAGTCTCCCCATTTGGTGCTAAATCCATCTCCATGCTGATAAGCCCAGAAGATCCCAAAGAGTGCCCATGAAAAACCCAAAGTATTTGGACTAAGAGCTGTCATGCATGGAAGATTCTTGTTGCCAAAGACTTGGTCTAAGTTGTTGAACATGTCCACAAGTTTGCTTGCTTAAGAATAGGTCAAGTAATTATTATTTACTTTTGAATAATTTTCGACTACTTTATTGTCATTACCTGTTAGTGTCTTATTTCTTAGAGATGTGATCTAAGAATTAAGAATAGTTGTTAATTTCCTTTTGTATTTAAACTCTTTTATAGTCATCAATAAAGGAAGCTAATTCCAATTAAATTTCTTGTGGTCTATTCTCACCCTAAGTAGAATACTATCTTCACTAAACAACTTTCTTATAGCTTCGATTGGGACCTATCACATGCCAAGACAGACCTAACAAAGTTTCTGTGTCGCATAAGAAGAAATGGCATATCTTGCACATGCCTCATATTTTTAATGATCAAGCCCCAAGCACGGTTGTTCATAGGTCATTTTCTGAAGCCACTGGCCATAATGGCATCAAGATGTGCTATCACTAGCGAGTAGCGACTTATTCCAAAATTGTTTCATACGGGTGCATTAACTTTTCCCTCACCATTAGCAAGGTAAATTTCATACATAAAAAAGGGGTCGAAAAACAATACTAGATCTATAACAATCATGTTTTCGATTAACATTCCTACTTATCAATGATCCATCTCTCTGAAAAGCATTATTTTTGGTTACGACTCTTACCTTATTTGGGACCCGTTGAAGTGTGATGCTAGAACAGTTACGCCGTCTTCATTAACCTTAAGCAAACCCTGAAGAATTTGCACATGGGGCATTCGTCAGCATGGAGGCAGCATAATTTGAGATCCTTGATGCATTTCATATTTCAGGGAAGTATAATGAGTGGCAAGATCCAGAGTTGTCTCACCTTTTCAGCATCGCATACTACAATAAGGTCATTTTCCTTCGTTGCTGTGATTCCAAGTAAAGCATCACTGTCTATCTTCTTCCAGTCTTGCCACGTTCCATTTTTCTGCAATCTTTTAATCCAACCATCTCTAGTTGCTGTATATAGTACACCCTTTGCATCCACACAAACATCTTCTGGATCTTTCAATACTCCCTCTCCAAGTTTAATCACACTCTACAGCACCCGAACGCCAAGTGTATTAGTATTAATGAAGTAGTAAACACAATAAGGTTCAAACTTTCATGTGCATGTAGCTCTTTACCTGTAAATAGCTATTTGTAGGGAGATGAGATACTGGGAGAAGTTCAAGCAAGTCAGGAGATATTGGCGAGAAGAAGAAGATTTGGAGTGCAAAAGCAAGTAAACAAGCTGGTAGAAAGCCTGAACATAATGGTACGCAGCGTTTTGATGTGTTAGCGCAGGTCACTGGATCAATTTTTGGAGCCATAAGCTTGGGATAAGGTTCAGTTAGTCAGGTGTGGTGAGGAAAAATTGAAAATACAAGATAATCTTATTGTGAAGGAAATAAATTTATGGAAAATCAAGGGTTTCCTGTTTGCAGAAAGTTGCATATCTATGTCTAAACAAAGTTGCAGATGTCAGGGTTATGAATACTGACAACACCGATCATTGAAGTTAACGTTGCAAAATTCAATCACTTTGATTGGTTGAAGAAGATAAATCTTTGCTGTCATTCAACCAAAACTTGCATTTCAATAATTCTGTATCTTAATCGCCAATGAACACTCTGAATCGTTTTGTTGTCATCGTCATATTACTAGGTTGAAGTAACAGATAACATTACTTACTTTTTCAGTAACCCTGTTTGTAAAGATGATCATTTAATGAAACATTGAATTGTTATATATAAAAGCAGATTCCAAATAAATTTCTAGAATTAGTGTTAAGTAACCTTAATCTGGTAGACATAAAAGATATTAAACTTTTGATTATTCCAAGAGTGGTGTTATTTATGCTACACATTGAGAGACGAACAAGAAGAGATGCATCATTTTCTACGCCAACAGAAAGATGCACGTAATCTAGAAGACAAAAGCACAGGGAAGATTAAAAATAAGGAAAATGATAGAGTCACCGAAGGTTGTGCACCGAATCTGTGTATCGAATGACGTGATAAAATCTTGACCGTTTATTGATATTAACTGATAATAAATCAATGGTCAGGATTTTGTCACGTCATTCGGTGCACAGATTCGGTGACTGTAGCATTACTCTAAAAATAATAATAGAATTTAATGGCACTCAAATAGTAGTGTATTCTATGACTCTCCAACAATCTGGCAAGCCCATATTTTGGGTTTGACAAATAATTACCCACTCTTATGAACAAATAGGTTTGAGCGTGTCTAATCGATGTGAGATTCTAAGCTCATATGTTGGGTCATACCTAATAATTGAGGTAGTTGTTGGCTCTAACATTTCACATGTTAGTCAAACATTCAGTTCAACTAGGTCTAACTCTGATACCATGATAAAATTTATAGTGGGTCTGACTCCTTATTTAATTAGGCTTGTTAAATAGGAGAATTATCCTATTTTATAAATCAGTATGCTTGAGCGTGTCTAGTCGGTATGGGACTCCAACAAAACTTTGTTTTCAAGTCACTTTCAAACTACTGTATATAATCTTCCTAAATGTGTTTTGAAATAAATTTTATCACATTTTAGCTCTCATTACATATACAAGAAAAATTCATTGTTCTATATTTCTTTTAGAGTAAAAGGTTACATAAAAAAACAAGAATCATATTTATTTAACTCTTAATAATGTAAATTTTAACAACTCACTAATGATTTACTAAAGACAGAAAGATTTTTCTTAATACATTACACCTAGGAGATTTATGTCTTTTAATCCAAATTTATTTTTCAAGTTATTATGAGTAGAAGCAAATAGAATGTTATGTTTAATCACCGCTAGGTGGCCTGATAGCAAAAGAACAAAAAATGATCTAACATAATATTTCAAGTTTGAGTCCTCCTGATGGTAAAAGAGTAAGATGAGAATTTAACATGGTCTCCTAAGTTCAAATCTCCATGGTTGCTAATAATGGTCCTCCTAAGTTTAAGTCCTCTTAAAGGTAAAAAATTAAGAAAAGAATTTAACAAGGTTTCCTAAGTTCAAGTCCCCTTGAAGATTAAAGAAGAAGAAAAAAAAAAAAAAAAAAAAAAAAAAAAAAATCTAACAAGTTCTCAGCAAACACCCCCACTCATGTAAAAAATAAAAATGCTACAGACACCGAATACTAGTACTGAAATTTTGCACCGATCTATACGGCATTTGACTCGGACGTGCCACGTAGGATATAACACAGGTATTCAATAAATGAACAGCTGTCCAACAATTATGGACGTCCGTCCATATCTTATAGACAACCGTTCATCACGAATGGACGAGAGTCCAAAAAATATCAATGGACTCCCGTCCATATATTATGGACGGGAGTCCCCTTACTATGGACGGTCGTCTATATAATTTTAGATGAAATATTCATTCTTAAAGCATAAAATTTTTAAATAAAATAAAAGAAAAAAAAAACTTTGATTTTAAGTATGGACGCCAATCCATCAAATGAGGATGGCCATCCATATACAATGGACGGCCGTCCAAATGAGTGGACTGGCGTCCATTCTCAAATAATTTTTTTTTAATTAATTTTTTTTTTCATTTATAAACAAAATGCAAAGTAAGAGAGAAATGAAACCTGTTTTGGGAGGCCTAAATTTTTAAACATTCTAATTGAAAATTTTATAGAATTTTTTTTATTAAACTAAAATTTACTCATGGACGACCGTCCATCTTACACGGATAGCCGTCCATTGTATATGGACGCCAGCAGTGGCGGATCCAGGATTTTTGTCGAGAGAGGGCCTCCGCGGCTCGGCCATTATTTGCCAAATAATTAGTGAAAACTTTAAAAAATCACCAAATCTTAATAAAAAAATAATATAATATTAAGAACCTGAGAAAAAAGAATATACATTAACACAATATTTTCTTACTTGAATAAATCTATGAGAAACAAAATTTTGAGTAAAAGTATTAAGTAAACCTTGAACAAAACCTTCTTTTAATATTTTTATTTTTGGCTTTCAAATATAATAATATAAATTTTCATAGTGTTGGTCAAACCTAGCCTAATTAAGCTACAGTCAACCAAAACTTAAATCAAGTCAACGTTACGTTGACTTTTAATATGAATTAATAAAAGAGAGGAAATTTTTTTAGTATAAACATAGATAGTAACTCAAATTTCTTTAATAATTTTGAATAACTGAACGGTGACGTTTAAAATATAGGAAAGTGGTGGGTGAAGGATGAAGAATAACGTCCTTTAAAATATAGTTAAGGTTTTAATTTGAAAAACCAGGTTTATTCTTAAACAGAAAATACAAAATAAACGCACAAGATTAATATCTTTTTCTCTCAAATTAGAATAAAAAACCTTAAAAAGAAAAAAAAAATGATTCAATCCTTAAATAAATTAAATTGAAATGAACAATACACATACCTAAAATCTATAAAACAGAAAACGGAGCTAATTATGACACTTTGAGTAGTGAAAATTTAACAATTTCAGTCTTCAAAAATTTTAAGAGAGAATAACATGAGAAAGAGAAAGAAAGAGTAAAGAATTTGTGGATAAAATCATAAAAAAACAAGTAAAACTGTGTAGGAAAACACTGGAGAGAATTTTAAACTTTTAATATGATGTGGGCTTGGAATATACATAAATATATATATAACAAGTTTTTTTGTAGACCTAGATATACAGTATGTATAATAATTCTTATTTTTTAAAAATTTGAAGGTGCGTCTGGATATATATGTTAATTAACAATTTTTTATGGCCTGTATATTAATAATTTTTTTTTCAAATATGAGAGTAGGCACAGGCTTACCCTCAAAGGGGCTGAATCCATCCCTAGACGTCAGTCCATATAAGATGGATGCCCGTTCATAGTAAATGGACACACGTCCATATTATATGGACGGAAGTCCATTGATATTATCATAGACGATCATCCATTCGTGATGAACGGTCGTCCATAACGTATGGACGGTCGTCCGTGTAAGATGAACGGTCGTCCATTCACGGAATTAATATTTTTTGTCCAACATGATCGCGTCTTAGTGGATGCCATGTTATTCGATACAAAATTTCGATACATAAATTCAGTGTCTGTAACATTACTGAAATAAAAAAGTGTTATGTAGGTTGCACGAATGGAAGGGATTTTCTAGTTTGAGTCCAATTAGTTGTATGTGATTATTAATGAATGCAATAATAATTAATATTTGATTAATTGGTTGAGTAGATGAGTTTGCTAGCTAACTTGTCCTTTCTGGCAATATGCAATCATACTAGGTTTTTTAACCCCACAACTTCATCACCATTCATTGGCTCTTCACCTACCTTAACTATTAAGCAAAACTTCCTCCATTATCCTCACCATCTGTTTCACACTGCCCCCATGTTCCCACTGCCACGTCCCGTTTTGTAACACTGAGTGTTAATTCTCTTTAAGTTTTTAAAAATCACAAACACACCCAATAGTTAAAATAGTATTTTATTCTGAGAATACCATAGCAAAAATTATGTATAATTAGAAGGATTAATTATATTTTAGCTTTGAATATATTCGTCACTCTCAAAAACCTCTGGAGGCAACCCACTTAATCCAAACTTCGTTAATGAAAATGTTATTATACTCTGTGAATTTTGAGTCGTGAAATAATTTGAAAGCCTCATAATTTAAATATCTGATATTTAAGTAAAATATAATATTAAATTCTCAAATAAATAATACATAACCGCTAACATGGAAACATTTTTTAGTCACCACTCCCCCCATATAATATAAATCTCTGGTCTTCAATCTTCTTCTTCTCATAAAATCTAATACAACAAAAGTTTTAGTCACATACCACACAACAAAAAATAAATAATAAATACAATAAGAAAGGCAGAGAAAACAGAGGCTTCAATCGTCATTCATCAATGCTCTCTTCCAAACAATGGCAATTTCAGGTTCAGATACACAGTCACCAGCAACCAAGCACACCCTCCAAGTCCCGCCACTCGAAGTCGAGTCAATCAAATGTGACTCCTGTGGCTTCACAGAGGACTGCACGCCTGCTTACATTTCGCGCGTGCGTGAGCGCTACAAAGGCCGCTGGTTATGCGGCCTCTGCGCCGAGGCCGTGAAGGACGAGGTGCTCAGATCAGATAGGCTCATCTCCATCGAAGAAGCGCTGGACCGCCACATCAGTTTCTGCAAGGAGTTTAGATCATCCTCTCGTCCGACTGAAACCGAGCACCCCATCTCTGTTTTGGGAAGAATCCTCAGAAGAAGTTTGGATTCCCCTCGTTCTCTTCGCTCTAACTCGAGCAGTATTTTGCCGGATATTGAAAGGGTTAAGGGTTCTCCACTGGTTCGATCAGAGAGTTGCTTTTCGGCTCTGTCTCGTTGAATGGTTGCTTCAAGTTCAACGGTAAATATGACATAAGAAAACAGAGTAACTTCCTTTTGCTATTTAATTTAGAGTATGTATAGCTATTAGAAACTTGAGACTTCATGCTGAAACTGATGATAATTTAGTTTTATGTGTCTTTATAATGTAAATAATTTATTCAATGGACTCGTCAAAAATTTTCTTATATCTTTTACTTGTTAGATTACAATGGTGCAGAATTCTGCAAATTTGTGTTGATAATATTGACATTAGGGATGAAAATGTTGTGCTTGTAATTTTCATTAATGGTCCAACCCACTTGCCTTAAGTAATTAATTCTTTTGGCTGCATTTATGGAAAGAATGATCGATAAAAGGAATCTAACAACGAATGATGCATATGAAAATCGTGTCTTTTCAACTATCTTTCTGAGAATTTTCAGCCTGGCCAGCTGTTTCATATGAGTTGTTTGGAAGGTAGCAAGTGATAAGGAAATTGAGTAAAGAGTAGAAGAAATTTAGAGAAAGATAAAAGAGGGAATGAAAAAGAGTCCGTCTTGGTGATAGAAGTAAGCAATTCAATTACGTATATATTCTGTGACAAAGAAAGAGAGGCCATGTGCAAATATAACAAGAAAGACAAAGAGCTGAGTAGTGTGAAATTGTGGCGTTTAGGGAGAAGTTTCTGGATATGTTGTCTGGAACACTTGGAAAATATCTCATCTCATTCTGAAAAAAAGTTGGGATTATTTTGTTTGTCAGGTTTCTGTGTCATGTGTTTTTCATTCTCTACGTTGTAACCACGCGCTGTCCCACCTGCCTCTCCTCGTGTACAATTTCTCTTCCAGATAGTTTCGTTAGATTACACGTGAATCTCGTAGATAAAGGCGTAATTAATTATATACAACTTTCTTATTCTTGACAAATTGATATGATGTAACGTCTCCTTCACCGGTACCCATTTTTGTGGGAAGTGGTCATCAAATGAAAAAACTAAATAAATAAAATTTTAATTTGAGAAGATTTTGAAGAACCATAAACGGCTAAACCAAGTGGAAAACGAAATATCCACCACCAAACAAGGCATAAAGAAAAGAAAAATCTATTGCTTAAGGTCAAGCTGTCGATCGGTTGTCTTGTTTGTTTCCATAGAAACTCCGTTACTTTTTGGCTTTTTTCAAGTTTGAAAATGGGTCAATTCTTAGACGTAGGATGAGGGTTTCACTTCACCTCCTCAGTTATTATTATTTCAGTAACCCTACGAAGATAGAAGCACAAAATGTTATTAACAAATGCATTTCATATCTAATCTTCAAGCCATATGACAATATGTTATATACAAGTGGAAGATAACTGGGTGAAGGTATCAAAGTTAGAATACAAGCTGATCAGGTGTTGAGGCCTCTACAGAGTCTTTTCAATTGGAGACAGACTTTCTCTGACAATATCCCACTTAACGCCCTTTAGACACCAGTATCAAATATCAAACTTAGCTTTTCTTTTTTAAGTTTTTTTATGCATTTAAACTCCTAGGGGAGGCATATTCTCACACCAAATTTCTATTATGCATCTTTTTTAATATCCAAAATTAATTCCAAACAAAATATGAAAATATTTGTCCGATAATTATATGTTGCAGGAGTCCTTTCCTCCTCCACAAATCACAAACACTGACAGTGGTCAGTTGCCCTTTCTCTTCCAATAGCCCCCCTTGTCTCTGTGAAATTGACATTTTCATACTTCGTCGAATCTTCCTCTGGCCCAAGTATCTTGAGAGACGAACTTTTTTAGGGGCAATTTTAAACTCACCCACAGATATTTCAAAAACTATCACCTAGATGCTAAGTATGGGTATATAGATATAATATTATATGAAAATGACTTATGTCTTTTAAACAATTGATCTATTACCACTACCATCCGGACTTCGGCTCCGGGCCTGGCCCTGATGAAGCAAAATTACCACTTAACCCCTATAAAAGTACATCCAAATATCCAATCCTTAAATATAAAAAAAATATATATATATCCCTGCCTAGGCTTTGAGCCTTTGACAGTCCCAGCTCAACTTGGTATATTTTATGAAATTTTGATAAATTACAAATAATCATTAGAAAAATAACAGCCCTTAAGAAACTACATGCAACCACTTTCTACGAAGTAAAATTTTATAAATTCCTCTAGAAACAACATTCAACTACCTTTCATAAAGTAGAACAAAAAGAATCTCCTGATAAATTATCCGAACCCCATAAATCTAGTAAAATTTAAAAAATACCATCAAACACGAATTGGGTATTAAAACTTGAGCTTTTTCCTAAGCTAGGGTATTGAAACTTTTTCCCGAGATAGGGCTTGCATTTTTAAAAGGGTAGTGATTTTGAACCCCATTTATTTGATCAATTTCCCTCGTTTATAGGGTAAATTGGTAATAAAATATAATAATAAATGGTATTTGGTTAAAGAGTGGGTGTAGTTAGCAAATTTCTCATTTTTGTATAAAAATATTTACTATTTTTGTCATTTACTTATTTGATTACTTTAAAAAGAAAAATCTTTTTACAATTATAGATACAATAAAAAAATTTATCCTCTTTTCATGAATAATTAGAGAAAATTTTTATTATGAATAATTTTCCATCTTTCAATGAACTAAAATAGGTTATTTCCTTCCATAGATAGTAAATATATTTAATACAACCTATTTATTTAAAATGGGAGAGCATAATTAAAATAAATCCATAAAAAATGAATAATATAAGATGAATTTAGAATATAAAATTAATTTTTATTTAAATAAAAATAAAAATAAAATTATGCTTTTGGGCTTTTAACCTCATTGAAATGATCAAATTGATGGGACTAAAAATCATTTCCCTTTTATAAATTGATCCTAGATTTTATAAAGGCACAATCATGATATTATTACATCCCTGTATGATCAGTTACAATGATAAGGATTAAGGAAGACAGTATTACTAAAAAAATATTTTAAAGCCAAACCTCAAGAGACCAAAGAAGAATTTTCCCCTAGTCCCAACCATTTATTCACTACCATGCAAATGTAAGACTATGTTATCTCCTTAATTAAAGGTTGTTAATGGGATAAAAATTTGCTAAAGTAATATGACTTTTTTTAATTTACATCACATTAATTTGTCATCAAAACTAGTTTATATTTAATTATTTTTATTGAGTTTTTTAAAATTAAATGGTTTATTTATTTTACATAACAGGATAAAATAAGGATATTAGAATAAACATTGACATAGGATGTTAGTGAAGTTCCAATTGGAAAGGGGGAGGCCGTCAAAAGAGCGCAAGAAAGTAGGAAGTACTCTTTAATTTAGAAAGAATGATGAAGCATAAGCTCCTCTTTTCTTCTTTGTAAGTTGTAACCGCGAAGATGATCCACTACACAAGCCACTCTCTTTGTGATGTGAGTTGTCTCCTTTCAAACTGTAACTACCATTATTCTCAAGAAACTACGCCGAACCTCCCCTCTTCTTCTCACTCTTTTTACCTCACCACTTCAAAACTCGCCCCACATTCCTATTCTTTCAATTCTTTTATTATTTTCATTTTCAACATTTTCCAATTGGATATCATGATTGTGCCCAAAGGTCTTTACGGCACTAGACACTCTATCTATCGTGCCGTTTTTAACGGAATCTGCGCTTTGGTGTTGCTTTTCTTGTTCTACAATCACGATCATTCCATCAAAAGTGTGGTGGTTCATAGGAGAATTACTACTGATGTTACTATTGATGATTATGATTCTGTTACGGATAAATTGACTCGAAATGGTCCCAAATTATGTCCTGGATTGCATGATCATGAAGGCTTTAACACTCGGTGTGAGTATTTGATTGCTCATCCGGAGTGCACTTCTGGTGGCTTCTTCAATTACGTTTGGTTTTTTTACTGTGATTGCCAAAGATATAGTGTTTTGGGTTATTTAGTTTTGACAGTTTGGCTTGCTGCTCTTTTCTATTTACTGGGAAATACTGCTGCGGATTATTTTTGTTGTTCTTTGGAAAAGCTTTCGACTTTATTGAAGTTGCCACCAACTGTTGCGGGAGTTTCTTTGCTTCCATTTGGAAATGGAGCTCCTGATGTGTTTGCAAGTATTGCTGCTTTTGTGGGTAAGGATGCTGCTGATATGGGTCTCAATAGTGTGTTGGGTGGAGCTGTTTTCATCACTTGTATTGTTGTAGGGACAGTTTCTTTATCTGTGGCCAAGAGCCGTGTTCAGATTGATAGGAAATGTTTCATAAGAGATATTTGTTTCTTTCTATTTGTTCTCATATCACTTGGTGTTATTTTGATTGTGGGTGAGGTGACTGTTGGGGGTGCAATATTATTTGTTTCTATCTATCTGGTTTATGCATTTGTAGTTGCTGCTAATGAAATTCTGAAGAAAGATGCTTCGAGTTTGAATTTGGATGATGCGTCTCACTTGCTTCCTGTTAAAGAAAGTTTATTCTCTTGTGGAATCGAAGAAGATGACTCTGAATCTGTCCATGCCTTGCTGCTTGAGTCTGACACCAAAAATGATGTCCCACATCTCCAAAGAAAGCTCCCACACTGGATGTGGAGGTCACAAGTGGCAATTTATTCTAATGAGGCTCTGAAATCTAGCTCAGAGAATCCAAAATCATTATGGGGTTGGAATGATGGACAACCAGAGAAAGACTTGTCTGAATCCCGTTCTATGATCATTTCATTGCTGGAGTTGCCATTAACGCTGCCAAGACGGTTGTCTATTCCTATAATTGAGGAGGAGCGGTGGTCGAAGGGATATGCCGTGGCTAGTGCTTCATTGGCACCCATTCTTTTGGCATTTTTGTGGGACACCCACATCCAAGAGAATTTGGGTTCATTTAGTGGGCATATTGCATACTTTATTGGTGCTGCCTTTGGTTGTATACTTGGTGTTCTGGCGTATCTATACACCAGTTATGATCAGCCGCCTTGCAGATTTGTATTTGCATGGGTTTTCGGAGGATTTTTCATGAGTATTACATGGTTCTATATTGTTGCAAATGAACTTGTTGCTTTGCTGGTGGGCTTGGGCATTATCTTTGGAATTAACCCATCCATCCTTGGATTAACTGTGCTGGCATGGGGCAACTCAATGGGTGATTTAATGTCAAATGTTGCACTGGCTACGAATGGTGGAGATAGTGTACAGATTGCTATGTCAGGATGCTATGCAGGACCTATGTTCAACACACTTGTTGGTTTGGGAATAGCAATGCTGATTGGAGCTTGGTCACGGAGACCTGCATCATATATAATTCCCATTGACGGTAGCTTGTTTTATACCATGGGATTTTTGGTGGCAGATCTCATTTGGTCACTTATTGTCTTACTAAAGAATGACATGCGCCTGAACAAGTTATTAGGAGTAGGCCTTATAACAATCTATATGATTTTTCTCGCCTTTAAGTTGAGCACATCTACAGGTGTGGTGTCAGTGAGAGATCTGTTTTGATTGTATTAGATTAGATGCTTTTGATGAAGTTCAGTCACTTGTTATTAATTCATCCCAATTAGGAAGCACAAATCTCCTAGATCTTTTTATTGAATTGACCTAATGTGATGAGGTAATTTGTAAATGCCATCAGTTTTGTGAAACTACAGCAGAATATCCCTAATTTCAGATTTTATATTGATGTAGAAGAAATTTGTCCTACATTAGTTTTCCCTTCTCTGTTGAGTTTGCTCGCTTATTCAGCATAGATAACAGAATTGCTTACATAGTCAAATTTGTGTGCATTGCCAACTGGATGGCATATGTTATAAATCTCCCTTTTGGTTTTCCAATTCTCCTTAACTATTGCAGGAAAAATTAAGCACAGAAATATGCAAATTTGTCATCTGAGCACCGAATTAAGTGATATTTCAGTTAAGATTTTAAGTTAACTTACAATTTCTATATAGACATTGTCACAATGACATCTCGATTGCTGTTTAAAAAGTTTTGGTGTTAGTTGCTTTGCCTTAAGAATCTAAAACTCCCACTTTTTTTAGTTTTTTTAATGATCGGGTTGTCTGGCTAGCGTACGCGTACCTCAATTAATCTCTTAGAATCATAAAATTATCGATCAGAATAAGAGTTTTAGTGACTACCTCTATTAACAATTGAGAATAGACTCAAACTCAAAGACTTCTTGAATAGTATATTGAGAATCCCTGTCAAACCACCAATCATGCAAAGATAGCTATGAAACTCCCACTTGCCCTTGCCCATCCTCATCCTTTTCTGACTTTCTGATACATTTAAAAAGAAATTTTAATAATAAAAACAGCCCATCTTTGAATGTAGTGGCATAATGGTAATTAAAACAGAGTTGAAGGCCCGAAAGGATGAGAAATTATAGTTGAGGACATATAATCAGGAACGTCGCGTTGTGTCAGTTTTGTCCCAAACAGACACGAAGTTTCTTTTCTCTTTCTCTTTTATCAGCAAATCTCTGCCACACCCAAATCTCGAATTTTGCAAAAATGATGCACATGACTCTTTACTGGGGCATTAAGGTCACCCTTCTCTTCGACTCCTGGAAGACCGATTCGTGGCCCAGTTACCTCCTCACTTTACTCGCTTGCTTTCTATTTTCCTCCTTTTATCAATACATGGAAGATCGACGCCTCAGATTTAAGGTCCTTTCCTCCGCAAATCCCGCCTCGCCTTCCGTCCCTGGAACCACGGCTACTCCTCTCCTTGTTAAACCTGGTCGATTCAGCGCCGCCAGGGTTTCCTTGGCAGTGTTGTTCGGAGTGAATTCGGCTCTGGGATATCTATTGATGTTGGCGATCATGTCATTTAATGGAGGTGTATTCTTGGCTATCGTTTTGGGGCTTTCTGTTGGATACTTTTTGTTTAGATGTGGAGATGAGGAGGTTGTGGTTGTGGATAACACTTGTGCCTGCGCTTGAACATTTTTTTATTTTATAAATTTGTACCAATTCACAATAGTAATTGTTAGATCTATACGAATTACGACTTCTGTGTGATGATTCTAATTTTATTTTTCCTTTTTTTAAGATTCAAGAAAGGCGGTGGTGGTCGTTGTTGTTGTGTAAAATATATGAATTGTGGATTCCTCCAATAGATATTATTGGGAGAAAGAGCAACTTTTTTTTGGTTTTGGTACTTTCAGTTGCAATTGCAAACGAAAATAAAACCAAGTGATAAAGATGACACGAACAGCTGCTGATTCCAAATATGGGTAGATTTGCGTTTGGGTTTCAGGCTAATATTTCCACCAGCACATATTCTCTACAATGTTTTAAGCTATCAAATTATAAGTAATTGTCGAGTTGTTTGATTTCTAAGAGTGATTGAACAGTTGAGTTGAGGTACTGTAATTAGAAAAATGTTTTCTTACCATTCAATCTCACTACTTTGTTTTACAATTCTAACATGACACTCTCACCATATTCAAGACAGTTAATGACTTTGATTAGACGAGGACAATTGTTTCTTCATAAAAAATAGTCGTTTTTTATAAAAATGTGATCATTTTCTTATGAAGAAATAGTCGTTCCTCTTTAAAAAACGACAATTCCTTAGTATGGTTATTCCATAAGGAAGGATTTGTCATACCTTACAACTCTTTAAGAAACGACAATTTCTTAGTATGGTTATTCCATAAGGAAGGATTTGTCATACCTTACAACGTTCCTTCAACCTTAGAAAGGAACGCTCATTCCTTCCGCGAGGAACAACCATTCTTTCATAGGAAACGACTGTCCCTTCGTAGAGAACGACCGTTTCTTAGGTTTAATCAAAATCATTTTATGACTTTGGTATGGTGGAGCTAACGTGATAATGCCAATTCAATTGTCATGTTTAGGGTTGTAAGAGAAAATTATGAGATTAGATTATGAACATAGCATTACTCTTTTAATTAATATGTGTCTTCCGTCATATTTTTTGCATAATCTCATACGATGATGTCAAGGAACATTTGATTTCATTAATCAAATAAAAATTCTTGAAAAAAAATAATCCGTTTCTGCATAGCTTTTTAGGCTTCATAACAAAGCTGGAATTGGAATTACTTAAAGACTTAAAACACAAAACTTGAATCAAACAAGGTGTTTAAGTTAATTTTTGAAGTATTTTTAGAGTTGATAACTTTATAAATAAAATATATTGAAAGATTTTAAATCTAGAGCAAAATAATGAACATATTTATAAATTTAAAGTATTTTTAGAGTTGATAACTTTATAAATAAAATATATTGAAAGATTTTAAGTCTAGAGCAAAATAATGAACATATTTATAAATTTTTCCTTAAATTTATAAATATGTAATTTTTTTTTTCAAGGGGTAAAGATAAAAAATATGGGATCTAAAAATCACTTCCCTAATAGTACTAGTTCTTAATTAGAATCAATTTCGGCCCCCAATAGTAGTTAGCTTTGCTCTATTTTATTAGGCCTAAATGGTAACCTGGGCTAATTTTTAATTGCCCATTCAGTTTCAGGCCAACTTCTGGTCACATTAGTAGTGCAATTCTATCACAGTAGGGCTGGTGATGCTTAGATTTATCTGGTTATGGTTAATTCAGAGGCCCCAACAAAAAACTGGGCATGGTTTTGATCAATATTATTGTACTTCAGCGAGCGAGGGTAAGGATTGGCTCAGGTTGCTCCAGTTTGAATTACTATTCCTTATTGATAATGGTGCCGGGTTTCCAACTTAACTTCGTAATTAACCTGAAGGAAGGCTCAAATGGGACGTACCAACCCCTCCAGGAGTTATGTTCAGTGTAACTTCATCTTAAAACCATTAATCATGATTATAATTAATTAATTAAAAAAAAAAAAAAACTAGCACCTCAATAATATTTAGACATGATGGTTAGAAAGGTTAATAGATGACAATTATGAGTTCAAACGTCTTCTAGCATGGGAAGGAGAAATTAAGAACAAATAAAAGAAAAATTTTGTAGTCTAAATATATAAAATCAATGTAAATGCATCATATCTTGAGTAAAAGCAACCTAGAATTCTTCAATATGAGAATCCTGAAATTAAAGGTTTCAAACTAGATTAATTATTGAGAGAGATAGAAGCCAACAAATTTAGTTTAGACTTTCAATATTTTTTTGGGATTTGGGAGAGAAAACATTTTTATAAAAGAATAATATTATATGTACTGAAGTTTTTTTATAAAAAAATTAAATATTATTGTAAAGAATTAGATAGCCTTTTATATAATAATCAAATCATCATCTAACATAATATTATTAAATTCAAACTTAAGGTCCTTCTTCCTAATTATCAAGTGATCTTGCTGAAAGCTTCATCAAGAAACAGTTGTATTGGTTTGATAAAAAGAAGAAGCAATCGGCATGCAATTGAGAAAGCAAGTTCATTAAAAGAAACTGAATATGTTTATCAAAAGGATAAACCTCAACTCTAATTTCAGTAGATGCATTTGCAGCTTTAGAGAGTAAAGTAAAAGCTGATCACTTGTATATTTTACTCTTGCGTCTGGCATATTGAATAAAATGAAGAATCATCAAGCAATAATTAACCAATTCTTACAAAACAGCTTTTGCATGAGTCATGTACAAGTACAAACCACTAAGGTTATATAGTCACTAAACAAACGAAAAGCAATTAAGCATCTGGATCGATAATAAACAATTAGTAGCTGTAATTGCTGAGAGAATCTTTATCTGGAGAAACCATAATCTGATTAATCTCCTTATTCATTATATTCTGATGTGATTAGCAATGAGTAGATTCACCGTAAATGTGATCTAGGGTAGCAATGATTCCAACAACAAAAGCTTGATCGATTCCGGGCTTCACCTCTATGTGATACAGATCCTTTTTCGCCATCAACTCCTCTATTTCTTTCTTCACTCCAATCTGTCATGTAATGTAATTACCAAAATCAATCATCCAAAAAGAAAATTAAAGGGAATAAAGCAAAAACCTTGGCATCGCATCAATGATCATATAATTATTTCAAGATTCCTATCATTTTAATTAATTGACTTCACTGATAAAGAAATCCTCCAATCACTTACAACAATAATAAATGTATATAAGATAAGTTTTAGAATATAATTAAATTACCTGAGCAATAACGTTCCCTATGGAGTCAACAATACTACAATCTCTGTCCGGGAAATAACCTTTGATCTCAAAGTCCCAGGCTTTGTTGCTTCCGGTGGTTTCAGTGGAGATCCTTATTGCATTGTTCCTGACCAAGCATGATGAGTTAGGTTCCTTTAAGCTGAAAACTGATTTATGAAATCCTTCATAGTTATAAGCGTAACCCTTCCATTTCCTGTGAATGCTCAGGGCTTGAACCAGACCTCCCTGAAAAAGATATATAGTTAAGTTGCTTCAGTCATAAGGATAGAACATGTGCCTATTTATCTACACTTATCTGTATGACTGTACAAGCATATATACCTGCTTCTCTTTGCTTAATTAATTTGACTTTTTGAGTATGCATTTATCTAAAAGAAAAGAAAATACTTGGAAGCATATATAAGAACTAAGGACAGTTACTTGAAGTAATTGTTCTCTTCATTTTAGATTGATTTCATCACGTGGGTTTTTTCCAAGTTCGTCTGTTTCAAGTCATTCTTCAAGATTTCCTTTCATTTTTCCCGAAAAACATTTGCATGGATGAACATGTAATTCAAATTAATCAGCAGAATTTTGCCAAAAAAACAAGATATTTATAGCTCTCTCTAAAGGAGATAAGATAGATCATATACATGACCCGAAAGAGGGGAGGTTTATACATGCAAACCAGAAATCTGATGCATCCATTTACGTCCCATAAATTCTTTAATAGTTTGATGACGTGAACATAACCATGTTGACTCTAAAAATAAGTGCAGAACTTTGAATGAAAATAACAATGCACGTTTTCATGTCCATAATGCATGGATTAATTTGAAACGAAAGATATGAGATTAATACCTTTCTGCGAATAAGAACCAAAGGATCTCCATAACCATCTCTAACCAGGAGCTCTCCTTTAGTACCAAGAACTCCACAGCCTTCAATTTTGAACACAACCTTTTGGCTGCAATTTGTCACCACAAATCCTCCCCCATTAACGACATGAGGCCTCTTCCTCACGACAAGCATTACCTGAGAAGAAGAGCAGTATATCTTGCTAATGATTGGCATGATATTCGCCTTCGCAGTCATCTTTATATATCCAACGAACGTCTATTTTATACTACTTTCAAACCCTAGCCTCTTTTGTTCTGCATATGGGGCTCTAGTGAAACAATGTCAGGACTCAGCAACGTGAAGAAAAAAAATATAAAGGGCTTTGCTCAATTATTATTCTATGTTTCTTGGGTTAAAAGATTCGGCCGACTTTGACTATATATTGCAAATTTAAAACATAGAAAGTGGAAGAATATGTGGAGAGTAGTGGTTAATTACTTGTTGAAGATGATGATTGGCAATACACGCGCCTTTTGTGTACCAATAACATGAGTGCGTGAGCGTGCATATTAGATAGCTGGAGATGGAAGATGCATGGATAAAGTTGGAGGCAGAAAGCAATATGAAGTTTTTCTTAGTCATGCAGCGGTGATTTTCAAAAGGGTATTCGACTTTTTGAAAAATTTGGCTGGTTAGATGACCAGAAAGAGAATATTTTTCAGAAACAATAGCTGCCATTATTGATGAGTGAATATATATAATTTACTTAGCTGGGGAGCAATGGTATTGTCTTGGTAGCTTCTTCAATTTGACTACAACTAACGTTTGGGTCACTCCAATGTCTTTTGGTTTTCCTATCGTAAAAGATTCTGTATGTTTAAAATTCTACGTGGCAACACTAGTTTAGATTGGATGGTGTAAATAATAATGCTAAATATCTTAAGGAAGATGTTTCCAGATTTAAAATTGAAGAGGTTGCTATGAATAAAGGATTAAGAACAGGTAGGGTAGGGCAGCCCCAGGCCCAGGATGTGATGAGACATGAATGACTTGTCGCTATAAACTGTACGGGAAGGGAAGGCTGTGAAAGAGCAGCTTCCATGCTTAGTAGTAGATGCAGTAACGAGGATCCTATCTTTTTTTTTTGACAATAAAAACACGAAATGATATTCGCATTCTAAATTCTAATCACCTAAAATTCGATAGTACCCGGAAAAACATCACAAGAGATCTAAATTTAGGATTAATTTTGTTCGGCTACCACAGTCAATTAAGTCTCAAATGCCCTAATCATTTTTTCTAAAATTATAAAAGAATCCCTTAGAAAATATTAAAAAACCACTAAAGCAATAAAAAGGCCCCCTATCAATATATAAAAAAGACCCCTACAAATATCTAATAAAACCTTTAATTACGAACATTTTAAATACTTTTCGAAAATCACTCTAGACTTCATCATCTCTCGGGGGAACAATTAAAAAAAAAAAAAAAAACCTTAAATTTGAAGTTCCTTTTAATTTTCTTTCATATAAATCCTTAAGCAACTCTTAATAACATTTCCAATGTTGTTCTTTATTTTAAAGAGTATATTTCTTATGAATAAAAAGTATCTTCGCTAATTTTTAAATATAAATAACACAATTTTTATTCAAATCCAATAAACTCTTTAAATTTAATGAAGATACTTTTTATTTTCAAGAAAGAGACTTAATGGGAGAGAGAAATAATAAATAAAATTCATATAAAGTTGTAGTTTATTAATTAAAACTAAGATAGAAAGTTAAATTTGACTCTCAAGATGTGAAGATTCAAACTTACTGTTTAATTTATATTTTAAAGATAAAGAGTCTATTAGATTTTTATTTTTATGGATAGACTCTTTATAATAAAAAATTTAAATTATATAAAGAATCATTTGAAGATGGTCTATGTTAGGGCCAAAAATCGTCTTTGGCCCAAATAGGAAAACGGGCCTGACAATGAAGAAGCCAAGCCCAATCCCGAATATTTTGAGGGCCATGGATCTTGGATTCGCCCATGGACGTAGAAAATGGGCTGGGATTGAGAGACTCGTACCCAGGTGGTTTGGGCCAGCTGTTTCTTGTCCCAAATGGACCTAATCCCGATCTGAATTAGGTCCTTGGGACAAGATGCAGCCGGCCCAAACCACCTGGGTGCGAGTCTCTCAATCCCGGCCCATTTCCTAGGTCCATGGGCGAATCCAGGATCCACGGCCCTCAGAATATTTTCCTATTCCTGAGCAATCTCCTATTCGAGGTCACCTTCCTATTCATAACACTTTCCTACTCGAAGTTATTCTCCTAATCAGAATCACCTTTCTATCTGGACACTGGTAAGACAGCTTACCATAACCCTAATTCTTCTAGGGTTTGCATCAGAGTCACATTAGGACTCCTACTCCCACTAGGATTGGGAGACCAGACAGTCACTATATAAACAGAGGTCAGCCCTCTCATAAGGGACAGATTACACTACACCTTCACACCCAAAGCTCCTATTTAAGAGCTTCACATCACAGCCGTAGTCACAGTCTTCGACTAGACTTTCGGTAACCTCTCTACTCCCTAGCCCTCACTATACTAGCCTCTCTCAGCCTTGTTGACTTGAGTGTCGGAGTGTCTACGGCAAATACCACCTTAGTGTTTCCCGTTCACTTCACGTGTTTGCTTCTCTACGTGTGCAGGTGCAGCGGATCACTAGTGGCCTCAACCTCACGGGATCAAATTCCCTTTTCATAAAGGTAGATTTTTACGTCTACAGTCTAAACTTAAAATAAAAAAAAAAGATTAGTGAGGTGAAAGTGATGAACCGAGTTAACTAGTGATTTTGAAAAGATTGAGAGTGATATTGTGTATTTTATGAAACCAAGGGAAGAAAAGTAATTTAGTAGTAGATTAGTGAGGTGAAAGTGATGAATTTCGAAATTACCGAACAACGTCACTACAGATTGTTTACGTGCCACTTTGTACACGTAACATAATCATCACAATGAAGTAACCGACAATGATTGCCTCTGGTAAAACACGCACACCGGCTCACGTTAAACTTTCTATCACCTTGAATCTCTAACTTACTCCACCCACTAATTTGACACGTCATTTCAACCTCCTTATATTATCGTTTTTAAATATTAAATTTCAACCGCTGTTACTTTGGAAAGAGCGGGAATACATCGAAGTTGCGATGACTTGTCTTCTCAAAGTGGGACCCTGTTCAAACAGAGTTATGGGACGGTGGGACCCATTACAATATTGAGAAGCGTGCTCACGTTACTCGAGGCGCGTACCATAAAACCTGACCAATTACTTTTATAGAAAAAAAAAAAAAAAAATCAGCTGGTGGAGACCCGTACGGAAAAAAAGTAAATGAGTGTGTTTTGTTTTTGGTTTGTGGTTATGGTGGATCAATCCAAACGCTAATTGAGATCATGAACAATGCCATTTTCCCTTACTTGATGGTATTTAACTCCTCTAATTATTAGATGGATTCACAATAAAATTATCAACTTTATGACCACTAATACATACGAGGAAGTTTATTTGGTTTTGGAAATTTTAGTTTATCTCTAGCATGAGTTTTATTTTGTTAAATTATTACGACTTTTTTTTAAGTAATTTGTAAATGTAGGTGGTGATCATTAAACTTAATAAATATGTCAACTTCACGAAGTAATCATATTTGATTATACTCAACTCCAGGCATGCACGTAGAACAAAAAGAAGGATCCCATTGGGAAAATTTAGAAACACAAGAGGGAAATTACATAAGATAAAATATTTATTTTACAATACAATTTTATAAATTTTTTTCACAATTCACAATTAGACAATTAAAACTTATAATAAGTGATCAAGACCTATTTACAAACCAATTAATTATCAACGGTTACGTCTAGACTATAAGAAAAATTTTATAAGATTTACATCCAAATGGTAAGAAAAAAAATTTATAAGATTAAATTATAAATGCTAACATTTCTCGCTTAAATCAGTTAAGCGTAAAAAGTAGAATAATTAAGAAAGTTCATAGGGAGAGACTTGCAGTCATTTTCCCACTCATACAATATACTGATAAATAATACTATATTTACTCACGAACTTACTAACCTTTTTATTCACCTTTGTTAAAATTATATGTAATATCCATATTACACATGGTATCATATTATATTTTATATTTACAAAGATGTACATATTACATAGCATTATTGATATACGATAGCATCATCAAAATCACATCCATCAACGTTAACAATATTTTAATAAAAATAAAAAAGATAGGCATAATCTAAATCCGATTCCAATCCGTACTCAACTTCAAGTAGATGCAGATCTGATATTTGCCCACAAACACGTGCCCAACAACTTGAGAATGAAGAATATAGTGAATAGATTTACCCTTAGTTTTTTCCCTCTCAGGTTGAAATTCAAAAGCAGATACAGTATAAGCAAAAGAGGATTTAGGATTTTAGATTTGAAAGATGGTTCATGAGAAATTTACCCATTTTGTGGTGCAATCTTTTCTTCTCAAAGTCAGGGCTATTTCTATTTGGTTAGAAGAATCCAACTCACAGAGATACACACAAGCACAGATCTTTTTTTCTCTTTCCTACACAGAAGTCACGTGCGATCTGAGGTACTTCATCGTGCTTTTCGCTTCTCTGCCCTCTGCGGCTCTGCCTCTGCCTCTGCCCCTCCTCTGCGACTGCCATCCACCCACCAACGCAGACACAAAGCAAATAATACACAAAGAAAGAGAGAGAGACATAGACATAGTCTCTGTTTTGTGCTATATGCCTTCTTCTTTCTTACTTATATAAATAAACTCTTCACTCAAATCAAATCGACCTCTACGTTTTATTTTTATTTTTATTTTTGCTAAATGGGTTCGTACACAAACTTGCAGCAGGCTTTTTCACAGCCGTCTTTACCATTATTATTATTACCATGCACAAAGGTTGTGTCTCGAGAAAGATCAGATCTTGTAACTATCTTAATCTCACCACCACCATCACCACGCACAGTCTGTGATACAATAATGACTCTCTTTTTATCCTTATTATCACCCCTTAAATCTTCATTTAATCTTTCTACCTACAATATTAATATTAAACCATACACTATAAATGTTTAACATTTACATTCATCACTCCTCACTAGTACTACCTACTACTACTCTGTTTTTGTTTCAGTTTCTGCAGAAGCGGGAGGACCCTTTTCTTCTTTTGTTTCTGCCTCAGTAATTATCCTTGTCAGGCCCACTAATTACTGCCCTCTGCCATTCCCACAACTCAATCTTTTCCTTATTTTCATTCACACCTAACATTACTTCCGCCCTTCTTATTTGTCCCTTGCTTTCCTGCTCCTACTTGTTTTTTTTTTTTTTTTTTTCCTTTTCTTTCAAATGGCTTTTTTCTTCTTTTTTGCAATTTTTTTTGGTACGTGACTGAGTGAATAGAGAACGTTTTTCTCGGGCACCTACCGGTAATTTAAGTTTCCGGTTAATGGCGGCTCATTCTGGCTCTGCTTCTTCAGTGCCTTCGCTGCCACCACCGCGTCCCAAATCCCCTCCGGAATATCCTGATTTGTATGGGAAGCGCCGGGAAATGGCCAGGGTTCAGGTTCTGGAGAGAGAGATTGGTTTTCTTGAGGTGGGGTTTAAGTTGAAGTATTTTCGAAGTTATAATTATTGAATAAACACTAGTTGTAGATTGAAAATGAAAAACTTCCAAGTTTTGCTAGTGTCAATATTTGCTTTGTTCTTTTTTTGCCTTTAACTCTTTTTAACTAGTTGGTTTTGTGAACTGTTTCACTAGTCTATTTGCAGAGATGTAGGTACAACTCCGATTATTATGAACATTAAATTTAAGTATATAGTGGAGAAGAAGAGCTAAGACGGATGCATGTGTTCATTATGCTGAACAGATTGATAATTTCTATGGTTTTTTTTTTTTTTTTTAACTTTTCTTTGAAGATAGAGATTGTTCATTTATGGTAGGTAGTTTTTTCCGTAACTAGGAGTATCTGACAATAGGCTTATCATCGCTCAGAATTTTAATTGTTTGCTGTTTTTATCATGAAAATGGAAATGGATCATTAGGACGACCACTGTGTCCACCCAGTTAGCAAGTTCAGGTCCTCTTCTCACCTAATGGACTCTTGCTGGACATCCGTCAGACTATAGAGCTTCCTTTTTTGTGCAACAAATTGATTGATTTCATTGTTTGGTGGTAGCAGAATCGTTTTGCACTGTACACTATCTATCACTATTATTTTTGGCAAATTTTATTTCTAATCAATGAAACCGCTGTTCAGTGTCATGCAGTATTATTGACTCTGTTAAAACTACTGTCCTGATGATTTTGCATAATCTTGTTTCATTTCAACCACTTCATGGACTCACTGATTTCCTTTCTACATTTTTAGTTTAGGTAGTAATCTGAGATTTTCCATACTTATGGAACTTTTGGCAACGGTTTGAAATTTAATATGCTTATAGTTGTAAACCCTGATACTGGATTATTGACTGTACCAGTAGCTAATCTGTTTCATGTTTGCCCCATGTACTAAAATGATTACTGCTTTCAGCTTGCCCATTCATAGGGAAAAGCCTGCTTATAGAGGTTGCAGCTCAATAGTTAGCTGAATTCATTTAAATATATCTTATGAAGTGGCAAAAATTTTTATTTTGAGCAGGAGGAATTAAAATCGGTTGAAGGCCTTCATCCAGCTTCCAGATGCTGCAAAGAGTATGTTCAGTTTTGCAAATGCATTTCAAAGCAATCTGATTGATTTATTTATTTTTTCATTCAACAGAAATATTGTTGTAAAAGAATATTAGCTCATGTTCTATCATTTGGAGATTCTACCCGTCCCATTTTAATCCAATTTGTAATAGATTGAACCGAATATTCTCAGGGTTGCTGATTTTACGGTTGCAAATGCAGATCCTTTTATTCCTCTGTAAGAATGAAATCATTTTCAGTATCTTTTGTATATTTCGTTAGGAGATCAAAGTTCTAATGGTTCTCTCTTTCAAGCAGAAACCGGAAGAATCGGAGGTCATGGCACTTCTGGAAGTGGCTTTGGTACGATTTAATCTTCCTTATGTCATTTGATTTTGTATCAAATTGGAGTGCATTGAAAAGGAATTGCTTTATTCATGAGATCCAATCTGTGGTCGCTTTTTCTTGTTAATTCTTCTAAATGTTAATCTGAGTTTCCATTCTTGTGCAGTGGAAGGCCGTGTTTTAACTTCTCTTGGATTTCTTGGATATGCTGTTGCTGTTATTCTGGGTGCTCTATTCATCTAAAATTGCCGCGATGCTGTGACTGTAATCCTTGTAACTGTAATCCATTTGCTTGTTGTTCATTCCCTAAGTGTTTATGTTGCTCTTGTCCGAAATCACGCTGTTGTAGAAAGACCTCATGCAGCAGAGACTGTTGTGTCTGTGGGTTTCCTACGTGCCCGGATTGCTCTTGTTGCCCAAGCTGCTCCTCTTGTTGCCCAAACTGCTCTTCTTGTTGTCCAAACTGCTCCTCTTGTTGCCCAGACTGCTCCTCTTGTTTCCCGGACTGCTCATGCCGCCCAAAGTGCTCCTCTTGTTGCACGGACTGCTCATGTCGCGCAAACTGCTCCTTGTGTTGCCCAGACCGTGCATGTTACCCGAAGTGCTCCTCTTGTTGCCCAGACTGTTCATGTCACCCGAAGTGCTCCTCTTGTTGCCCAGACTGTTCATGTCGCCCGAAGTGCTCCTCTTGTTGCCCAGACTGTTCATGTCGCCCGAAGTGCTCCTCTTGTTGCCCGGACTGGTCCTGTTGCTCAACTTGCTCATGTATACCGGATTGCTCATGTTGCCTAGATTGCTCTTTTTGCCAATGGAAATGCGCATGCCCTAAGTTCCCAAAATGTTCAACGTTACACCTTTGTTGCAGTTGTAAAAAGATCTGCTGCACTTGTAATCCATGTTGTCTATTCTTCTAGCATATCATAAGGTACTTTCAACTGTCACCATGCCATTCTGCTTATAATATACTACATTATGAGTTTTCTTTTTTTTTGTTTTCAATGCTTTTACTGTCCAAAATTTTTTTGCTCACTTTGAGTGAATACAGAAATTTAGATGAGGAAATGGGCCATATAATTAGACTTATTGTTTGGAATACAGACACTGAGCCTTGTTGACTAATGGCTCTCACACTGCTTCTGAATTTGGAAAAAGAAAATTGATAATGCAGCTCATCCTAATCCATAATTCAAATCCCTGGACCTACAGCTAAATAATTGTTGTAAATAATTGAATTGGCAGGCAAAATTTGAATGGTTCATGGTTTCTACTTGTCACTACACTATCCTTTCTGCACAACAGTTACTAGAGGCCTTATGTCATTTCTTTCAGTGTTCAATTAGTAATAATTTCCATATATCAATCATTTTGTTTTCTATATACATACAAGTAACATGAAAAACAATCATTCACGTGCTGCACCTAACGAGTAATAAAATTCATTAAAGCTATAGCTTATCGCTCACTTGGATCTCATGATTTACTAGACCCATCGAGTTCCACTTAAACTACAAATTCTGAATCAATATTTTAGAAACTGGTCAAGTCATTCCATTCCATTCCATTAATTTTACAAGCACCATCTCGACCTCATTCCCATTTCCACTATTGCCATTTCTCAGGTCTTTTTTTTTGCAAATATTGAAGGTGTTGCACCCTGAATAATAAGTTAAAACACACCAAACTTATTAGCTCACTAATTGTGTCCATGAAAAAGAAACTGGGCTCCTAACTTGATGTTGAGCATTTCCCCACACAATTGAACCAAATTCAGAACTACTCATCTGACTAACACCTTTCTTTGCCACAAAGGTGACTGTGTATCTCTTCTTCTCCCCTACAGTCCTAAATAAAAGTGTTTTGGGCCTAACTGTAATCCCTACAGTGGCAGGGCCGGTTACCGTCACATTGTACGAGGATCTTGCAGGCCCAACGTTCGTCAACTCTCAAGTGTATCGAACCACCCTCTTGTTTCTAAACAACACTGAGAATGATGGGTAGTTAAGGTCACCAGGGTCGTTGAATTTCTTCAAACAGGTGACGGGGCGTTTGATGATGGTTTGGATATGTTGAGTGGTGTAGTTCAAGGAGCACAAGAATGCTATGTACTCTGAAGCTGAAACATCATAAACAAGGCCCGGAGAGAGGGCTTTTTGTGGGTCAACGTGGCCCGAGCCATAAGCCCATGGGTTTGAGAATCCACCATCTGAAGCATCATGGAGAGGAGATTTGGCATTGTCCACTACATAGGCTGTAGTCATTAGAGCCGATTTGATGGCACTTGGGCTCCAATCCGGGTGGGCCGCTTTCAGCAATGCAGCTACTCCACTAATGTGTGGGCAAGACATAGATGTACCTAAATGTCCAAAACAAAATGAAAATCTTAATATAATATCGCAAAGTGCTTGATGATCTGGCCATTAAACATAAAAACAAGATGTCCTTTTAATCACATTCCTAACAGCTAACTCTATTATAAAATTGGGAATAAAGGGCTGGAAGTGACCTTGAGTTCGGCGTTAAAGTAGGACCTCCATTAATGGACACCATATTCTATATTTATTACATTCATCAAAGTAGAGGAGAATGCACATAATAACATTTATTGTGTTTTAAAATGTTCCAATTTTCTTAATTTTTAATTATACTTCTTCAAATGGACAAACATATCAAAATGAAAACGATGAATCATACAATTACCATGCGTAGTGGCGTATAATATAAAATTTATTGATGGGTGCAAAAAGATAGCCGTTGGGCAATACGACATACCTGACATTATATTGAACTGTGTTCTCCTTGTGTCCTTCTCCAACTCAGTGGGCCCATTGGCTTCTGACCAAGCAGCCAATATGTTGACTCCAGGCCCAATCAAATCCGGCTTCAAGATCTGCGGAGTCACCGTATTCGGCCCTCTTGAACTAAACGCCGCCACCACTGGAGAAGGCCTCACGTTCAACACCGTCCCACCAAATGTAAGCAGAGCCGTTGGATTTGCTGACTTGGCGTACTCCCTGATCTTGTCACCCACCTTTCTACCCACCGCTACAGCCGGTAGCAAGTGACTGTCAGCCACCAATTCTTCACCGCTTGCCGCCGTGTTTGCCATTATCATTCCAACTCCACCAGCGTCGCGTACAACGGCTCCTTTCTCTACACGTGCGTTTATTCCTCTGTCACAAATAACTATTTTTCCACGTACGAGTTCCGGTTGAAGTGAACCGGGCAAGCACAAGTTGGCTGAACCGTTTGAGCCTTCGTTGTAAACCAACGAAACAGGTTTATTTCCCATTCCCTTTCCGCTGTAAAGAGAAACACCGGTAGCCTTACTTTTGTCTCCCAGAAACACGTAAGCAGGAAAATCACGGTCTAATGTTCCGGCACCAACGGTCATGATCCACGGGGCTACGTTTGCAAGCGAGGCTTTAGTGGGTCCACTGTTTCCAGCAGAGCATGAGACGAAAATACCCTTCTCCATTGCGGTAAATGCTCCTATAGCAATTGTATCTCTATAATAAGGAGCAGATCCACCACCCAGAGAGAGCGATAGAACATCCACACCATCTTGTATGGCCCGATCCATACCTGCCAAAATGTCCGATCCAAAACATCCAGTTTTCCAGCAAACCTTGTAGGTGGCCACACGCGCGTGACTGGCCATTCCACGCGCTTTCCCGCTGGCGTAACCGAGTAGACTGGCATTGGTAACTTGTGAGCCGGCAGCCGTACTGGCCGTGTGAGTTCCATGACCGTCAATATCACGAGGAGACTCCGTTTCTTTGGATTTTCCCAAGTAGGTACCACCGGAAGCCATGCGGTAGCCTTTCGAAAAGAAACGAGCACCAATGAGCTTCTTGTTGCAAAGTTTAGGACTAAAATCAGGGCCCGATTCACACTGACCGCGCCATTTACTTGGAACTTGAGGCATCCCCGAACCGTCGAAACTTTTAGACTCAGGCCAAACCCCAGTATCAAGGACGCCAATAATAACATCATATGAGGCGTGGTCGAGATCCTGATTGCTATGACCCTCCCACAGCCCAAACTCAGTGTTGAGACCAAGAAACTGAGGGGAGCGAGTGGTGTGGAGAGTGTAAAGAGTGTCTTCATAAACGCCGAGGACGGAGTCAGATTGGCGGAGAGCCTGGGCTTGAGCAGGATCGAGGGAGGCAGCAAAGCCGTGGTAGGCGTCGGTGTAGGTGTAAAGAAGAGAATCCGGAGTGGAAGAAAGAGACTGAAGACTAGATGTATACCAGTCATGGTGAGTGGGGAAGGAGGGGGGCTTGTCCTGAGGCTTCATGTGGACTATGTAGGTTTGTTTGGCGGAGACTGAAAGTGAAAGGCATTGTGAAAGAATGGTTAGGAAGAAGAAGAAACGGGAATTGGAAGCCATGGACGTGCAGAGAGACGGCGAATGAAAATTTGGGATCATTAAGTTTTAGTGTTGGTTTAAAGTACAGTTGATGGAGAAAGACGGTCGCTTATTGCTGCGACTGTCAGAAGGGATAGGAGAAAGTATGGATTATGGAATCGTGTACCGTTTATAAATTTCTTCTTTATAAAATTAGGTTCTCTTTGCTCTTTTATTACTCTTTATGCCATTACGGCTTTCTGTTATTTTGCAATACTGTTTCCTTAAATATTGGACATAATGCAATTCTATCCACTAAGTAAATCATTATTAGTCATCAACTGGTTTTGGCATGCCATGCCATCATCATCATGGTGTCCTATCGTGCTCTACATAATTACATATTATAATTTAATTGGAAAAATATATAATAAAAATAAATAAATATAAGGGGTGTTTAAGTAATGAACAAAAAAAGAACGATAATCAAGGTGGAGGTTGTCTGTTACTTTGCTGTATACGTGGTGGTGGGGAAAAGACTAGGCCAGCGTGTTGACCGGTGCGACGTAACGTAACATAGCACTTCACGCAGCATCAGCAACCCGCAATCTTCTCTGCTCTGCTTCTCGTATTTCCCAATCTTTCAATCAATCCACTTAATATCTCGTTAATGCCATCTCGATAAAAAGTTTGCATTTTATTTGTGTTGTTATGACAGTTATATCCATCAATTTATTATTTTACATTAATATCATATGATAAATTTAACATAATATTTATGTGCATATAATTATTTTATGAACATTATTTCATCATTCATGTATTTTAAACAAATTATTTATTACATCGTTTAATATACAACTAGTACTAAACAAAATGAGGTTAGAATAATTTTATTTATTTATTTAAATTATTAACACAAATCTACAGTATATATTAATAAATTATCACTAAATTAAGTCGAAGTTTTGATATAATATTAATAGTTTACAAAGTGTTGTTATAAATTAATTAATTAATTTTTTACTTATTTTACAATTCACGTTATATTAATGAAATATTTTTTAAATAATCAATTGCCACAACCTTTCTGCTATTAGAAGCTACAATCTTTTCTTTTTAAATTTATTAGTATAAAATTAGAGGTTAATCCAAAACATTTATCATGCTTATAATTTTATAATAAAAAAATAAGAAAATAAATTAATTTACAATCAAAATATATGTAAACGTCTTATGATAATACGAGCATATTCTAGTAACTTTTAGTTTTAAAATTAAATAAAAAAATTCATATGATTACTTTTAATTTTACTTTAATATAAGGTTGAAAAGACACCTTTAAAAAAGAAGTGATAATTAAAATTAAAGTGTAATTTGTATGTCGGCAAAGAGGAAAAAAGTTGAAAGCAACCGCAAAAGGGATAATAAGAAATAAAACTTCTACTATTACGGGGTGACTTGTAATGGAGTAAAGCATGACAATAATAAAAGAGTAAGAGAAATGTCTAATATTATCTCCTATATTTAAGTTCTTTTTAAAATAAAAGAATAAGAGGATGATCTAATATAGTTTTTGAGTTCGAATCCACACGATTGCTAATAGAGTCGTCACTGGAGTTCATACTCGACTAATAATTCTAAAATCTTGAAAGATTAATGAAGGTATGCGTAAGGTCGTAAGTTATACTCCCATCATTACAAAATTAAAAAAATAATAATAATAAACAAAACTTGAACTTGAACTATAAATCCCACATCCATTTAATAATAAATCTATATGTTAACGTGGCATGGCTTGTATTGCATGTGATTTTTAATATAAAATTTTCACATTCATGAATTACTCATTCCTTTTCAGACACAGCGCAAGTGAGAACATTAATCAACTATTTAATATAAAATATATGGAAGGAAGATAATTAGATTCTTCTTTTTTTTTTAAAAAAAAAAAAAAATTATTTGTAAAAATGGCTTAAAATTTAAAGATGCATGTTGGGGTGGGCCGGTGTGATTGGTGAATGAGCGCAGATAGTGGCGCCAATCGAGCCAACAAAAACACTTCTGATAAATGGTGACCTGCAAAATCTGCTGGAAAACCGCATGCTACTTCTTTCTTTTTTCATAATAAAAATCTCCACGCGGTTTCTCTTATTTATCTAACTCTCTTCTATTATTATTATTATTATTATTACTTCACCTTCTTCTCAACCAATCCTATTCTTCTCTTATGCATCTCCTTCAATTAACGCATTTCAATGAATTGTCTTGATTATGAGACCAACCAGAACTTGGCATTTCTAGATTTAATATTTGAATTTTATTAGTTTAAAAATTTATATGCCGAAAGACATGCACCCACCCATAGTTTGTTATAAAGACAAATTGGTACCCAAAAAGTTTGAAAATAACAAACACCTACTTTTTGTCAGATTCTATTAGCGATTTCCATCTATTGAAGGACAGTGTGGTCAAAGGTAGAACAGTTTTTTATTGGGCAAATTGGGAGCTGGATGCGGCAAAAGGTCGAACAGGTAGTGGGCGACGATAAAGCATCAAGGTTGGAGTGATGGGGGAGCGGCTGACGACTAGGAAACACGACAACAGCAACATAAACACTTCTAAACAGCAACCCATTGATCAAACACAAAAAAAGGAACAAAACACGAAAGAAAAGGCCGCAAAACGCGACTATCTCGCCATGACAGATGTAGGTCATAGGCGACAAACGGCAAGTAGGGAGGGCTAGTGGAGGGATGGGTTTTGAAGAAGAGAGGATGGGGAGTCGAACGATGGTGATGTGTGGTTTTCAGTGTCAAAATCTGCCGAGATCTAGTCAACGAGTTAAACTCATAAAAGTGTAGTGGCCGTCGGTCAGTGATTTGAAATGATACATTGATAAAAATCCCAATAGTCTAGAACAAAAATCAATAGCAAAGAACACCCACGCATAATCAACTCAACAGTAAAGTCTCTAGAAAGAAAGATACATGCTACCACCATTAGCACCAACCAATCCTCACCATTGACGCCAACACCAACACTACCACCCATATTACCATGTACAATTAATCTAACTATGGAAACATGAATCTCTAAAAACCTTTGAATACTAACAAATCAGCACAATCTCTATTTGTCGTAGTGTGGGTCTATCAAGTTTTTTTATTTATCTATTTTTTCAAAATCATGGTTATTTGGTATGTGGGTTTGGTGATCTTTGTGGGGAAAAGGCAGTGACCGGTGGGATTCGCAAGGGAAAATAGGTATGATAAGGTTGTGGGGAAGGAGAGAATCAAGTGGGTTGTGTGGCAATGCACGAGTGCCTGGCTGTTCGTTGCTACGTTGTGGTTGCTATCGCAACTTGAAGGACAACAACCAAATCTCCAAACTCCAACAGTCGCTAGGTGAAGATAGGTCACGAGAAAGAGGAAATTTCGACAAAAAATGGGTCAAATCTTGTTGGGGATGAAGGAGGATTAGGACTATTAACGAATCAAGCAGCTCGCGAGCTGACTCAATTTGACTCGAGTAAGGCTCATTAAGGGCTCGGCTCAATTCGTGAATGGGTTTCGGGTCGAGTTCGATCATTGCTAGGCTCGGCTCGAACAGCTCGCGAACTAAATATGTCTCTAGTTAAAAAGGGTTACACCAAGGGTTTTTCAAACTATTGGGGGTTTAATGTAATTTGCAGTTATTAATAGTTGAAAAAATGACAAATTCCCCCCATTGTAAAATTTTGTAAAACATGATTCTCACCCCTATTTGAACTAAATCCCTAAAATTGAAAAAGCAAAACCACCCAAATTCTCAAATTGCAATCCACCACCATGCTGTGGTCGTCGCCCATGGTTGCCGTCATCTACTGTTACTGTCGATGGTGTCATCTGTTACTGCAATCATCGTTGTTTCGCCATTGCCGTCCGCTTGTTATTCTCTTCATCGCTATCTTGTTCTATTCCTGTCGTCGAGTTGCCCATTATCTTAAATGCAGACCCTTATTTTCCCATTCTTCTTCGGTACCGATACAATATTGGCCAGCCATTCCAGATACTGTACTTCTCTGAGAAACTTGGCCTCTAATAGCCGGTCCACTTCTTCTTCTTGGTTTACTGCTTCTGCCACTGCGGAAGATATCTTTCTCCTCTTCTGTTGAACGGGAGGGAAGCTGGGATCAAGGTTTAGCTTATGACATGCCACCTCTGGATCCAACCCTGGCATGTCATGGAAGGACCACGCAAAAACATCAATGTAATCCTTCAAGAGATGTACAAGCCACTTCTTTTCATCTTCATAGAGCACTGTACCTATATACAAAGTTTGGGGTTCTATCCCGCCCCCTATATCAATGGCTTCGACATGATCTATGACAGCTCCCTCTCCCCTTTTCCTCTTCTGAGCTCACTTTTTTCTTTGTTTTTCCTAATATGCTAGGATTGTTCTCTTTTCATATGAGTACATACATTGAGTTAATTGAACTGTGTTATTATAAATGCTAGTATGAATATGTTGGTGCTGTTGCGTTTGGCCTTCCGGTGTGTTGAGGATTATTGAAATGTGTTATTATATATGATTAGTGCAAAAAAAATTACGATCATGGTGTTGAATAATCTGGTTTGATCTTGAAACTGGTTTTATGCTCATAGTAGTTTAGGAAGCTGAGATTTATGGTCATGGTGCCAAATAATCTGCAAATATTAACTGAAGTTTGAAACATTGCAGTGAAAATATGAATGAGAAGTTTAAAACTGCAGTTTGCAGTGTAAAGAAATATGAAAAGCTTTCTTAAAGTTGTGAAAACTTGCACTCTTGCTCTTTATACGATAGCTACATTAACTAGATTGATAGCTTTGGTTTTTGCAAGCTGGGATATGCATTAATAGAAATGAGTTTTTATCATCAAATAACTTTAATGTTCCTTGATTTCCAAAACTTCAAATATATATCAATAAGAAAAGCTAACACCTTTGTTTTTATTTTATATTTTAGGTTTGGAAATGGACAGCAGCACCTCAAGTA